AGATCCTTCCCTGGCCACGTCTTGCCCCTATTCGACTAAGTTCAGCATCGGCCATGTTAATCGCAGCTGAAGAGAGGTCCATCTTGTGAGCTTCTTTATCTGCAAGTCTTCTTCTTGTCGAGAGCCAATCTGCGGGTCACGAAGATGCACATTCATAGGTACAATACGATATGATTCTTTCCCATCATTTTCAAAGCTAGCTCCACGGTGGCAAGGGCGACAACCTCTTGGTAGACTCGGAGTCGAGGTGCGTCCGAGCTGCCATGCCATGACCGTCGGTGTTGTCAGAGGCCACAAACACTGTAAATTCCGGTTGAAAGCAAAAGAAAACGAGTGCACGTTCGCTTTTGTCGCAAAGATAGCTACTGGCACTGACCGCTTGAAGGCTCTGCCGTCGATCCTCTCGACCGGCTCTGCCATCGATCATACGCCGCAAATGTTGCCGGTTGCTTTCATTCCACAGCTTGCACTCCTGAACTCCGGCGGCTTGAAAGGGCTTAGCCATCAAAACTTTCTGTTGCTCAGGCACATTGAGAAGCAGCGGTATGTGGAAAAGGTGATCAGACGGCCATTTTAGCTCTTGATGAAGCACAAAGCGGCGCCTGATGCACGCCAATGCGGGCGCCTCCTTCTTTCCGCTTGTGCTTCGACTCGCAGATCGAGCGGACTAGCGGCAACGTCTCGGCCTTCAGAGATTGAACTCCGCTTCGTTCATGCTTCGGTCGTGCTTGTATTCTTGTTGGCGACAATCAACAGAGCTGCTAATCGAGTACTTACCTGGTTACGCCAGTATGTCGTGGGCCGTGCTGCGTAACCAAACCTACGTCGCTTAATCTTCACATCTCCAGATCGGAAGAGTCAATCCCTTCTAGTTAATAGTTTAATACTCCCGGCTGCTCGTCGGCCGCCCGGTTTGTCAACCTCAAAGAGTCGCCCACATACAGGAATCCTTGGTTTGAAAGGGACTTCAAGTTCGACTAACTCGCATGAGATTGCAGACTCAAAAATATGCAACAAGCAACGGGAACCAGTGTGGGCAGGTCAGCGTGCAGTCACCTCAACCATCCGCATCAGCACGAAAGAAGGACACACGTTTCTGCTGTCGTGGTTAGAATCTGTTCTAGCGCCCTGTTGCGCTTCATAGATCTCGTGCGCGTGCGTTCCTGAGCCTTGGTTTGTTGTGGCCGTCCTTCCAAATCTGAGGCGAGTCCCTATCTGGCGGCTTGGACACGTAGCAGATAATCCATCTTTGCTAAGCGACATATACTTTTGTACAGCGGCAATCAATGCTCGGCAGAACCACATGGTCACGCGAGTGTCCGGAATTCGGCCACCTGCACTGCTTGTCCGTGAATGCAAACATCTTATATTGGAAGTGAGTGAGATTGGTGGGACATTCGCCCAAAATAGAGTTCAAACCAGACCAAGTTTTCGTCTCCGTTTGACGTTAGTAGTAGCCGTCGACTAGCAATCACGACACGTGGCTGAGGCAAGGAAAAGACTTCTGGCACTCTCAGTGCCAAGGTTGCTGGTTCATTTGTAGCATTTACTTCGAGCCCTGTCGCTTAGCGCTTTCAGGATACAAGCGCGGTTGTGAGACGCAGAAGACTTAGAGACCAGTCCTTCCAAGGCAGTGGTCCGAAGGTACCAGTTCCGCGGCACGAATTTGATACTTGTAGATATGACACCTATGATAGATCCCTCTGAATATGGTTGTAATCTTCTACTTGCTGCCGTCTATCACTAGCCCGTTACGCTGCGTCGATCCTTAATTTATGACAAGATCACCAGTTCGCATTGAAGCAGAGTCGCCGGGTTTAGAGCGATGGCGCTCGACGAGCTTTCCAAATTCTGGCTTTGTTGGCTCACAACACGCAGCTGCCTTTCTGATGTAAACCGCGCCGGCTCTCGAAGGGCTTCCTGTGAGTGTGCAACAGGGTCGGACGGCGCGCGCTCGAGCGCGCCACTAGCAAGACGAACGCGCGCACGAGAAGCCGCACAATCGCTCGAACACCGCCGCCCGGCCACACTGCGCGCAATCCGACTGCGCGCACTTGTCGCGCGCTCCTGCTCGCTTCTGGCGGCCTCGCCCTTGTCCGAAGTCACCAATTTTGCTCCGACTGGGTTGACTGATTCGATCAGTAAGTCTCAATTTTCACAACTTTCAGCTCTGACTTTCAGTGCGGACTTTTCTCCTTGTGTTTCTAACGCGAATGATGGCCAGGATTACTGAAGCTGGCTAACACTGAATCCGCCAACGGCTTTGTCTCACTAAAACGCTCGGAGCCCGCGTTGAATTCCACTCAAAAAAGCGGCTCTTAATTGCGACCCCCTTTCCTACTTGCGGGTTTGCCACAATTCAACTTACGTGCACGTCGCAATGAAGGGACAGAGACGTCCATGCAGTCATGCAATCCGTAACTCGGCACCTGCTCGAGTGTCGCTCCGGCCACCGAGGTGCTGGCATACTTACAGAAGTTCTGGGTTATTGTCGCACCAACTATTTTTAACCAAGGTGAAGGCCAGCTTTGAATGGCAAGGACGAGAAGTGCATGGTAGCCTAAACTGCAGCTGCCAATGCGCTTGACCTTTCTAAACGGTCAGAAGCCACAAACTTTCCCACTCGATTTGTAGAAGCAAGCGAGCACCTGGTCATACTTTGTGCCACCATAGCTGTTGCCTCTTGACGACTTTCTTTCGTCGACCATATTTCATCAGATGTCTCGTGGTTTCTTTTGCGCCGGTCAGATTCATATCGGGCGCCGAAGATGGCCAGTTGCTTACTGTTTCGAGCACTATACGGGAAATGAGCTTTGAACAAGCTGTTGCTTTGGCTGGGCGACGCTGCAATGCAGCGGCATTCCAATAACGAGATGGCTTTTGTAGCTCGTGATCATATTTGCATAAGTGACGACTGCTTGCGCCGGTAGCAGGCGCCTCTTTCTTTCCGGATCCGCTCGTATTTCAGACAACAGAGGTGTGGCTTGACAGCACCTTGTGATTCGCAAGTGGAAAAGCGATCGAATGCACCAGTGTTTGCTATAGCAGAAGTGGACGTGGACGGAAAATAGACAGTACTCAAGTTGCCTAGCTCGTCTCTGTTCGTAATCCTTCCAGTCGACGGCTATCCGGTTCAGTAGCTGAGGCAAGGAAGGATTGTCCGGCACTATTAGTGCTATCAACAAATGATGAACGTACTCTGAGCCCTCGTGCCTGTCATTCTTGAACGCTGCTTGGAGAAAAGCGCAGACTGTCCTGCGCAATTGGTGGAGAAGCGCTAGCCTGCTTGAATCTTCCATATTGATTTCAGGGTATCCGTTTCGACATTAAGTCCACTTGTATGCCGCTGTGAAACTGGACAAATCCTGCAATTTCTTGCTATCGCCTCGAATCACAACGGCGGGCTGGGCCGAAACAAGTATTGCTGATCGTCTCCAGCCGGATTCCTTGCGTTGGAGGCCGTCCGTTGTGATCACGTTGGTGTGCGTAGCTGAGGCCAGGAGGAGCTTGGTCTAACACTTTGCGTGCTATAGTCGTCATATTCTCTCTCCCAGCCTGAGCCTCGTGCCATCATTCCCATTGTTGCTCGATCGTATTCCTCTGGCGTACCATCATATTGCGCGTTTGCCTGCTGAGTCTACGTGTTGCAATGTACACGTGCAGTCTTCTGTACATAGTGGGCAGGGACAAAATGTTTTGGCAGTCACTTACGTCGCTGCCAGGAAAAGGCCTGTAAATAGGTGAAGCCTTGGATAAGCGTACGGTGCGACTCCCGCGTACTGCGACTCCCGCCACTGATACGAAGCGACTTCCATTTTGGCGGGAGGCGTAAGTTGACCTTTCAGGAAGCACGACTCGCGTCCGAGCTGAAATGAGGCTTTCGAAAGCAGCCTTGCACTCGCTAATCCAAGCAGCACGGACCTCAATGCAATCCGCTTTGTATGTAGAAAACGCGACCTTTTGTGTCAAGCTGGGAATACCGAGACGCAATCACTTCAGAATTTGATACTACCTGAAGCCTAGCAATATACTCGAAGTAGGCTAGCGTCGAAATAGTCCAGCTTTACGTAGAATGCCTTAATTCGTAAAATCTACGCAGAGCTGTTCCGCCATCTACGTGCCATGTCTGCTTCTACAATCTGCCAAGCGTGCCAGCAGCAAGGAAGAGCCCATTTTTTTTTTGGCTTTCAAAGCTATGCCATGTGTGGATCAGTATGGGCTTCATGAGCCGCGGGGAGTTGAATCAACGTCTTCGTCCTTCTTTTCAAGAAGAGTTGCAATAGCATGCATGTTGCCTGCTTGTGAGTCCGGCCGTTATTTATATACAGCCAATGTATGAATTAGCGCTGTTGATGGTGCCTGGGAGCCCTGCATGATGATATCATGCACGTATACTTCGACATGACGTGCTAATAAGTGAGCTTCCCAGATCGATAAAGCTAAATTCATGGCAATGCACACACACGCTCGAACCGAGATCGGATGCCCACCGTCCAGATCATGCAACTTACGTCATCTTTGAGCTCAAACGCGGCCGAGCGCTGCTAGCGGGGGGCGCCGATGATAATTGCTCGCATGACGTGATGCTGGGGCACTCGTCGGACGCTTCAACTTGCATGTCAATTTGCATGATACATTTCATAGAGGCTGCTTGAAGTACATGCTCAAGTTGACTGGCCGCCGCGCGTCTCATGCTCCAAGTTTGCAGATGAGCCATGGCGTGGACGGTCTGTACGCCGGAGTGCATCATTGTGTCATTGCGCGTATACTAAGTATTAACCGCATGCACACTGTATAGGCAGCGTCACATTCGATTGCAACACAGTGTCCCTGGTCTGCTGCGCAGCGACCTCGCACCTGAGTGTCCCCGCATGCGCTGGTGGCAAGCTGCGGCCCCGGCTAAGTTGCCAACTAGGACCCCAACGGGGGCGCCAGCTCTTGTTGCGTGCAGCCAAATTTTCTTCATTGCCTGATCCAACCTCACGGTACAGCGCAGCCAAATTCGGTAGCTCAGACGCTTTCAATAAGTTAGAAAATGATCAGTTGCGTGGGGAGGAAAGCCCCCCTTTGGACGCTGACGATACATGACACATGCTTCCAACTGGTAAACATATGAACATTGCTGGCAAGCGCGGAGGGGTTCAGGTGCGACTCTGATCTCAACTTCTATGGACCAAAGTCCGATCACCCCTTAGGGAGGCCCGGCCAAGCTTGTGAAACAAGAGACACTGTCTAAACCTTTACCCTGCCGAATCTCCTATCTCAATATCCCCGCTTGGCCTGATCATATGGTGATCGGATCTCGAGAGGGACTGCCCTACGAACGGACGAGCGGCTGCATTTGGACAAAGAACGCAGTCAGAGTCAGTCAGACAACCATCTACCTTTGATCGCATCAAGCTACTCTTGACGCCTTAGAAAATCATGACCTGTAACTAGATTTCCAACTGCATGCCACTTTGAGACTGCTGCCCGGCGAACGCCGGTACATCAATTCTTAATCATAAACGTTGGAGAGCAGGGAGCCTCTTGCATTCCCTCTTTCCGGGCTTTTCATTTGGTAGCACAAGCAAATCCTTCTTGGGACGGCTCCCAAGCATCCCTTGGATAATATCTAGGTTTTAACGGCTTTACAAGTGGAGCGCCCGTATCCAAGCAGTCGCTCGACATTGCCTTTGAACGCTCCTTCGAGAAAGAAAAGAGTACTGAAGTCGGAGGGTTTTACCTGCAGCGCTAGTCAGAGGCGGGTACAGTTGCAGGTAGCAGAAACATGCGAGCCCAAACCCTGCATTAGACAAATTAAGCTTTAGCCTCGGAACCAAGTCATTTTACAATGCCTTTCTTCGGCAGGTTGCTCTGCTCCGATCTGGGCTTTGAGGTAAAGAATGCGAAGTGCGGAATCAACTTGACGTTGGAAGAAGGCGTTAGGTCAAGGACTTCCTAACGACGTTAAAGATCCGTCCTTGTCCGAACAGACGACTCCATCTGGATAGGCACTCACTCCTGCTTCCTGTCTTCTTCTGAATATCCGTGCTCCAGACGGAGAGGCGGACACAGAAACCGCTACTCAGACCTTTCAGGGAACCCAACGAGAGAACGAACTTCGCTTGCCATTGAATGCAGCAACGCCCTCTTATTTCTCAGCTGACCAACACGTCATCCCCACGAAAGGAAACTTGCGCGTGAGAATGAGAAGTCGCCTAGTAAACCAATATTTGCTGGCGTTATTTCCACGAGGTTCACCTAGACGCGAATCTACAATGACGTCCTGCCTGTGTTGTCAATATCCTCACACTCAACAGCTTCAAAGGAGCTCCCATGAGCTCCTGCTTCTTTGCAGATAGACCGAATGAGATTTGACCATTTAGAAAACCGTGAAGTCCAATCAGCTGCGCACATCTGGCGCAAGTAACTCCATTCTGATGACGACCGCACATCGACGTCACTTCAAACAGGCTCACCTAGAAGCGACCCCACAGTAACGTCCTGCCAATGGTGCCAGTAGTCCCTCACTCGGCTGACCGCAACCACAGTAGCCCCGATCAGGGGAAGGAAGAACGGCACATAGGTGGGAAGCTGGAACCGTCCCCGGAAGGTCCCGCTTTTGCCCCCAAGGTAAAGTGCCAGGTAGCCCAGGCCGGCAAACGACACTGTAGAGACGTTTGAATGCTTGCTTTCAGAATATTGGATTTTAGACCAGTTGGAAGAGTGCTTATAAGAACATTCGTCGGGAGAGGATGTTGTCGAGAAAACCAAGCGGCAGGCCAACAAAGAAAGGGATATCGAATCTGGAGAATATTGAGATTATTGTCCGTGCAATTGATCTGTAGCTATGCTTCTCTTGTACGGGTGTCAAGACGTTAACACATGTCCGACAACGCAGCGCCCTTTCTTTGATGAGCGCAGGCTTACAGTTAAAGTCTACTAAAATCCTCACATTAGTAACCGTATCATTATGGAAATGCTGTGATTTACCGGATGAAGAGGTCAACAAATTAGGCGCATTGACATAACGGAGTTCTAAATGGCTAAGAAGAGAAGCAGCAAGGGCGCAAGATGCATTCATAAGTGCAGGCGCCAGAAGTACCAGGAAACATTAGAAAACAATACAATAGTTCTGGTGCGTCAAAGTGGGGGTCCATCATCAGTGTATGGACTGAGATACTGAGTCCACTGAGGAGAAAAGCGACAGCAGTTGCAGCTGACAGGCTTACATGAAGAATGTCCGCTAGGAAAGCTCTTGCGCCCTTCGATCACATCGCTTGCAAGCCCCGTGCACGCCGGTTCGCCCGGAACTGAGAAGGACTGCATGCAAAAGATGAGCATGAGCTGGAGCTGCAGTTTTGTTGCCAGGTTTCCGCGCTGTTGATGATGTTCAAGGTGGTGAGCGCAGTGGTCTGCTGAGGTCTGGTGGGTAGAGCAGTGCTTAGAACAGTGACAGAACAGTGGTCATAGCAGAGGTTAGAGGAACTGCCCATTTTTTCCTGGTGGTGCCACTATCAGTAGAGCATTACTACAAACTAAGCCCAGCTTAGACCCGACAAAAGCAACAATCACCACTTCATAGAAAGTCTGCCGAACGGTCGGGCAAAGCAAAGAGAAAGCTTTCTAAGGACTTGACTATCCCCACTTCGGGCCCTTTGCCCGATCAGGCCATCTGTCTGATATTCCGCAGAAAAGCTTGTTAGGTCAAAAAGCTTTCCTGAACGGGCGCACTTTTCGGTTCCTACCGGCTCTTCAACCACTGATGAACGGACTTCACTCTAGACATCTGCACCCTATGACAGTCTAAGCTTGCCAGCTTGACCCAACTGCAAATCTGTGCGCTTATTTTCAAGAAGAACTTTCAAATCACCAGAGCTCTTTGATACAAAGCACCATAATCATGCCCGATCACCTTTTAACCCACCACTTCTTCCATATCTCATTTGCCTTGTACATCCCAACAGCTCCCAGCAACGGTGCATATTGAGCGCTCACCTCCTGTCCATTGGGAAAACAGCGCGAGGAGAAGTCGGGCCGCAGCCTCCCCGCCGCTAGTTTTACCGAATCAGTCGCTACCGACGTCAGTATCAGACACGCCATCAGCCCCATAAACGCATTGTGGAAATCACGCTTGTCCTTCTTCACTGCGAAGAACGCCCCGAACACAACAAGCGGAAGCAGGAGGGTATAGGCAGGGATTGCCCACGCTGGAACAGAATTCGCTAGCAGGGGGTATCGCAGCTGCCGCAGTTCTTCTGGGAGGACATATCTGTGGAAAGGCCGTCCAAAGGTGTCCAAAAACACCAGTCCAACCGCAAGCAGGATCAGTGCAAGCCAGTCGTACATGTGCTTCTTGAGGATCTGCCCCCAACTCGAGGACTCGCTGGCGCCATGAGCTGGTTCCCCGCGAAATGCAGGGGGCTCGTCCATTCTTTCGGGGCCCTGCGGCGATGGGCGCAGCCGGAGGCTAGGCCCGACGAAAGGCAAGCCCGTAACGCCTGCCAGCCCGCTTTTCACAGGCGCCGCGAGAGAAATTGCTCCTGCAAATGCCTTCCCATTCTCAGAGTGTTTCCCACTTTTGCCTGCGCCTAAGTCCTATTGCTAGCTGCTCATGGACATTGATGATTGAGCAGCTCAACATAACAAACTTTTATAAGGTCCAGGCCCAGGGCATGGCAGGCCTGTCCGCCCGCGCCGCGGCTGCAGATAGAACCCTAGCTAAACCCTCGCTAAACCCAACAAGCATATATGAAACCCGGCAGCGGGCCGGCGGACGCGCGCGGCCGCGGAAGGCAAGCGCTGAGCCCAAATCCGATGATCCCAAATGATCAGCCCGGCCACCCGCGGCGGCCGCCATTCCGCCATGATGGACTGATTCAGGGATCCCACTACTGTAAGTAAAATAGTAACACTAGAATTCCCAACCTGCTCCACACCGGACGGGCCCCCAAGCAGCTAACTTTTGATGCTGAAACTTGCGAAGGACGTCGTGAGCCAACGCACTAAGATACGGTCACAGTAAGCGTTCCGACCAAAAAAGCATGCGACGGTGCTGTCAACTCGAGCTCAAGGCATGACGACCCGAGCTGAGCCGCGTGGAGTATAACGCCCAGCATATAAGGGCGAGCGCTGCCGGTGAAATTGGAACTGGTGGCACGAGCTGCCAGCTCCAAAACGAGCATGTGTCGAACGCAACAAACGACTCCAGATCTTTTTGACGTTCGTTAATCCAAAATATGCATCTAGCTATGTTACAACGACATTACTGTTGGCCACCTGAGATAACTACTCAGTCTCAATGCATCTGAAGCATGCGTGCCGACTCCAATTGCTGATAAAGCTGGTACTCTCGCTCGAACGGGTGCGCCTTTTCTCTTCCCACTTTCGGTCGTTCCCAGTCGTAGTAGTGCGGCTGGATATTTGGGTCGAAGTAGTCCTCGTACTGTAAGGAGGGAGCAACGATTATCTCTGGCGGTATGTGAATGCCAGAGGAATCACGACAATCGAATTCCCGGATGCCACGCTTGCGAGCCAGGATCTGACCTTTCGGCGTCCCTGACACGGACGTCGCTCTCAGACTCCGCTTGTGAGCCAAACGTAGTGCTTTAGCAATGTATTCAAGGAAAGAGACTCGTGAAAGTTTCCATCAGGCCGCTCAGCAAAGTTCGCAATTACAGCAAGCAGAGTAGCAACTAATATGGCCACCGAGACGGTGTCGCTTCCGTAAATCTAGCGCTGCTTCCGCCCGATTTCGGTTCCGAACCTGAGTCCGAACCTCACTGAAAGCATCTGACCATACGATGGCTGGTCTTAAAAGGCTGCGCCTCCTCGAAACAAACGAGATTTGTTTCGGTGCAACCTTGGTCATCAACGCCAGCTGTCTGGCCCTCACTCCTGTTTTCTCATGATTATCAAATAGATGTCTCCGAGTCGTTCGTCATCGGCAACATGTACGAATATTCGACTTATAAGCCACTTAGTCAGACGCACAGGGTCGCTGAAGCCCAGAATGCAGTGCTTGCAGCTTTCTGCTTACATGAAATCCGAAGACGTCGACTGATGCGCAGATGTTGAGCGCGAGAACGACCCCCACCAGTCCCGTCGAAGGTTTCTCCCCCGAGCGACCGACCCTGCACAAAAGACGTCGTCACACCATTTGGTCCAGCCAATGGATTTAGCGGCAGACTTTGTAATAGCATCCGAACTGCTGAATACTGTTGTGGACTTCGTCAGCTATGCACAGCATGTGTGCACGCTAGTTGATACCCTTTTGGAAGACGGCCACCTTTCTCGTGCACTTTACATCAGAGCCGACGCCGGCCAGAGAGTTGAAGTTAGGCTTGTTCCAGAACCTGTGCGCTGCTGAAAGAGGGCATTGCCCAACCTGGATCTTCGGTATCACACTGTTCTGAGTGGGCCGAGTGTCGTCAAAATTTACAGAGCACCTGCCTTTCTGAGCGACCGTCAGAGAGGAGCACTCTTCTGTTTGGTCGCTCGAGGGGACTGCTTCTTAGACACCCGTTTTCAATACACAAATACTAACGCAGCCTGGAAAGTCCTCGAGCTGCGTGGCGCTGAGTTGAGAAAGGACTCCGCGATAAAAAGCAAGACAATTGTCGCCGGTGCCTTTTTGGAGCTGATAGTTTTGGTCTAGAGCTCTTCTTGACCCTGAAGGATGAAGAGGAATTGACGACGACAAATTTACCTTTTGATTAGTCACAGAGATATGGAACAGAGTGAGAGGTGGGTCCAACTCATGTACGGCTACAAGCGCTTCTAAACGATTATATACTCTCCCCCTGTTGTGAATTTGGAACCGAACCCTTCCAAATGCTAGCTTGATGACCAGAGCGCTTCTCGTGCTGCTTACCAGTCCCACACGTGGCACAAAAACTCGGGATCGAAGGCGAAAGCGTGCTCCGCTTCCTCCCGATTTCTCTTCCGCACCCACTCTCGAAGCGCCGGATCCCGGATCTCGGCGAGAGTGATCTCTCCTGGCTGCAAAGGTTACGGTTTTTGTTTTCTTCCTACTTTTTGAGATCCTGGCGAAGCAAGATCGAGCGTATGCCGAATCTCCTGCGAAGATCATTAACAACAGTATTCAGCTTAAACGACTGGGCTGTACGGGGCGGTAACATTCCAGGAAAAGGTGAGGGTCGAGCGCGGGCTGGCGAGAGGGGAATGGCTCTACTCTGCTAAAAGCGTCATCAGAAATTGACCTCGAGCGATATCCGGTTTGAACAAGTTTGAGGACAACTTGGAGTAGGCGTACTCCTTCCCCGCTCCATGAGATGGCTGGCGTTTCAAGCTCGGCCCATTCAGTGTTTCAGGGATGACGACTAGACTTAGCTAAAGTGATCAAAGGAGCAATGAAACGCACCTGTTTTTGCGAGACGTACGGTCCGTTGTATATGCGGACGTGTGACTTGGTCCCCACGTGTTTCTCGTACCCGTCAGTCTGCAGAACGACAAAGCTTTGAAGTCAGGTCGTCTTCACTGTGCCTTCTCATGTTCAGTCAGATTTGGACGAAACTGAGTCCACAGATCTCTCGCACGTTCTTTCGTGCTGAGATTGCATCACCCTGAGAAGAGGGGTTTGACGTTAGAGAAGCCTGTATTGAACAGAGTCTTGGATTTTTACTCTCCTAAGATGACGTGTCGACTTCAGCTCGTCTGGATGACGCTGCAACGGTTTGCCTTTAGTCGTGTCATGAATCTTTTGAATGTACGGGTCCAGATTATGCACCCTTCTCAAGGTATCACAGACCACAGATCCACTAAAGGGCTCATGCAAAGCGCAGAATTAACAGCGCGCGGGCACAGTCCAAAAGTCCGCATAACCCAAGTACGTTGACTAAACTCTGAAACCACTAACCGCTAAGGATCAAAAGCCGACTCCAATGCGTGCTTGACATCCGGTCTCATCATCCAACCAATCGCTCCTTCCAATCAACAACACAAGCGAACCCGGAAAACTCACTTTGCCCCAGTTAAATCGGATGACGAGGTCCCGTTTATCGATCTCCGCCCCGTGCTCGTGCTGCAACAACCGTCCGCTGTTCCCTACCACGGCACAGCTCGGCCGCCGCTCTAGTTCTGGCACGGTGTTCTGAGCCCGAGCAACTAGGGCCCGCAAGTCGGGCTCCTCCGACGGCCATCGAACGTCGAACTCTGTGGTGGGGAATTGTGGATTTTCATTTCGGTCGACAGATTCTACCAGCAGCCGTGGTGGTTGTGGAACTAGAGTGGAGAAATGGAGCGGCACTCAATCAAGAAAGAAGCAGGGTGGAGCCCCTCTGTTCCGGCGAATCAATACTGCAATCCTTCTTGATTGCAGCATTCAGTGGTTCGGGGCATTCTTAACCAGGAGAATGAACCTTGCAAGCACTCAGAACTCAGTTCTATTGCGTTACTCTTTGATAGAGAAGGGAGGCCACAAATCACGCGCTTCTCTTTACAAGCCTCCGATGCACCTGCAAACGGTTTGACATCGTCCTCCCAACTCGGCCAGGGGGCCTTTTCAAAGTTCCGAGTCTAATCACTTTTTCGCAGGTCGCTCTACAATTGTTTACCTTTAGTACAAGACAGTCTCCGTCAAGAGCACCACATGGTCTAAATAGCGTGCTTTTTCCTCCTGTCATGATATCTTATACCTTTTTGCTGCGAAAGTGGCACGTCAGTGTCTGTCTATCCCACCTTGTATGCTCCGTGCAAGCTCTTGCCAACTTCGGAAGCCCACAGTCCCGCTGCCTCCGCACGAAATGTGCCGGCGTTCATGCAGGCGGGGCTCAGCAAGAATGAGACGCTGCCTGGCCAATTGAGCGAATGTGCTCCATAGATCTGGTGGTAACTGTAAGTCAAAGAGTACAGGTCTCAGACTGTGTCTTGAGGAGAGAGGAGAAGCGTACAATCCTTTCAATGTATGGACACAAAGGAAAGCCATGTATGGCAGCTTCCTTTCCTGAGCTATATGAAGTAAGAGAGACTCAATGCCCTTGATTTTTGAAGTGTGGGTTAATTTACTGGTGTGTAGCCTGCAGAGTGGAAATGACTGTCTCATCATTAGTACTTCTGCCCTCTTGGATGAGGGCAATCAGTCCAACAGGCGGTGCTGAGGCTGCAAGCTGAAACTAGAAGTCTGTCTCTTTTTGGAGCATGGTGCAAAGTGCAATGTGAAACTCACGCTGGGACCTGATGGAGTCAGCGACATATTCTGCTCGGTTCCGTCCTGTACCGAACCACTTGCTGGGTTTACCTCCTTTCTCAATTCATCTTTGTCCCCTCCTCCTAGTGCATGTGGTCTGTGCGGGATAGTTCCCTGAATTTGAGCTCCAATCAGTCCTCTTCTAAATCCACCTACATTGCCCCTGCTTGAGCCACTTGAGGTTAGAACTCGACCCCTACTCCTAGGTCCGCTTTGCACTCCCTTAAGACCGAAGTGCCTCTCAGCTTCCCTTCTTATTCGACCAGGCCCCCGCATTCCTTTCTCTCCCACTTTAGTTCGACTCAGGCTTGCACTTTTGCTCTCCAAGTCAGTGGCCACGTCAGCGCCTCTCTCAGCTGAAGAGCTGCTTTCCGCCCTCATGTCTTGAAGGCCTCTCCGTCCACTCCACCCTTCTGGATGTTGTATTACTCCAAGTGCTTCGTTGCTGTTTGCATCCGGAGCTGCTAACAAGAACAGAGTAAAGCAAATGCAGGCCAGTGCGATGAGTCCTAGACATAGTGCCCCCAGCAAGCTACGCCTGAAGCTGCCGGAAATTCTCCTCCTCCTCCGGCTGTGAACCTCGCTCTTCATTAGTTTTCTGAGAGCAGATTATACATGAGTCCAAGAAAGGGGAACATCTTGGAAGCAAATTTTCCACCCTCAATTGTCAGAAAGTCTCTCAAGGCAAAATGCTCAATAGGTGGGGCCAAATCTGCAACCACAATGCAAGCAGCAAGGAGTGCAACCTCACAAAACTCTTTGAAAGAGCTCGCGCTCGGGTGAGCTGACTGTCGGATCCTTTGAGCCAGCGCTTCCCTTCGCTGCAGATGCTACATTACGTCCTTGAAACGAAAAGAGCTCTCGAAAGGCAAGGAAATATCCACGACATGAGCAGCTTGGAATCCAGAATTCACAATCAATGAAAGTGATGTCGGAATGCAGTGGAAGAGGCCCAGTGCGGAAAAGCAGGCAGCAGAACCGTCCGATCAAGCTAATCGACGGCTGCTGCTACGATGTCGGGAAAAGAACCGTCGCGTGTCATGTGGCTCGGATCGAATAAGCCATCGACGCCTTTCACTTTGGATGCGACAAGGCGCAGTCAGAGCTGAGTCTGAGTTTGTGATTTGAACCGCAGAACTGGACGCTAAGGCTCAGCTGCGTAGGCACACAGTACTACAGTAGGTATGTAGAATCTAATTTCACAGTCGCATTCACTCCACATCGGAACTCACTGAATGTGATGGTCATTCTTTGCTACCATAGCTACATGATAGACAGCCTTCTCGGACTGAGCGGGCGATTGAAAATCTAAGAAGGAAAGTGATGGATAATGACTGCACTGCAATCTAAAGTCACTCTGGAGTGTGGGCACAAGACGAGCAGTGGATTCTCTGGACTCTTGATTTAGCTTGGGATTCACAATCTCGCAGTGCTTTGCGGTGAAGTGTAGAAGTGTCTACTAGTACTAGCTTCCTGGCTGGCAATGTAATAAATGTAAGCATCGCTCCTAGTGCTGCTGAGAAGTTGTCAAAAGGATACCACCCGCAGATGGCACCCAATGATACGCAGGCATCAAGAATGTCGTCAAATGAGACGGCCTCAAGCACAGTGGAAGATGAGAAGTGGGTGTGGCAGCCGGTAAACGGAAAAACGACAAGCACAGGGGAGGCGATAAAGCCACCGATCAAGCTCTTCTACACAGCTGAAGAGGTGAGCAGAGGATCAGCATTTAAAAAAATTGAGTGCAAGGGAAAAGAGAAATGAGCTGCAATGAGCTGGCAGAGCCAGTATCTGCTGCCACGCCATTTTCTCCTTCGTGGTTTTAGGTTGCTACAGGCCCTTGCTTTAGCTGTCGGATGAGTAACCAAAAATGGTAATGAGTTCTTGGTAGGTCAACTTGTGTGAGCGGTAACATGCTTCAGCAAAATCCGTTGCAAGGTTGGAGTCTTTGATTGCATCACTTGCATATCCAATCAGCATGCCCTGCTTTTTGAGATCGCACATGGAAGAGTATGGCGGCAAATTTGTAAAGTCAATACCACGTTTATCTTTGATAGCGATAAAACTTGACGCAATAATGGAGCGGTCTAGAGAGCATCACTGTTTTTTTTACCACTTTCTCTGTAATAAGTCGCTCGAATAAGAGCGCGTTCTTGGCTCTTACCCAGAAGCAGCACACAAGGGGTAATGTCCTGAACAATCGCTAGCTACAATTGCTGCGCTTTGCTTGGAAGGCAACAAAGATGCCCGCTGGCCATCATCCCTAGGCAAGGTTAATCTTTTTAATTCCCTGTCTGCAGATAGCCTGACACCTCTGCTTTCGGAATTGACGATTTACCTGGCCACATGGTCTCCATCATTACCTCCGGCCCACAACTTTTTCTTGCTGGTAACTTGTTGATGGAGGCTTGTGGCCCTATCCTTTGCCTTGTCTTAAGTAAGGGGTATCCTTCAAGAGCTGAGAGCTGATGGCTGTCACCCCCCAGCACACTCAGGACGTCACAGTCTCTGAAACGATAATTTTGCAAGTTCTCTCGAGTCAGTTTCATGATGAATTAGTCACGAACATCTATTTGCATCTCCTATCAGGTGGCTTTGCATACAACAGCAGACAGTTGCTGGCTTTCCCTTCTGGGCCAAGTCTATGACGTCACACGGCTGCTTCACGAGCAAGACTGGGGTAGTCTAGCTGCCCCCCTTCTAGTTGCAGCAGGGACAGACGTCAGCCACTGGTTCGATGCAGAGACAAGAGACGTCAAGACGCACGTGGATCCGGAATCCAATCTGGAGATGTACTATATGCCACAGGTAAGCAGCGCCTTACGAGCAGGCTCAGGATAAGACAAAAATATTACATGGGCTGTTTGTAAGCTCCTCGAATAGCAATATCATGCTGCGATGAATGTCACATCCGAGCGTTGTGCGCTTCTTGCTTTACAGACGGGGACCGATGCATACGCAACAAGAGGAGGATTCACCAGCCCGTACCCATTCCCAATGCATTTGCATGTCAGGATTGCAGCCTCCGTCGCTCTGATCTACAGCTGTATCTTTCACGCAAGGGTGCCAATCGTCCCTCACTCTTTGTTCCACCTTTTGAGCTCTTTCCGTACCTGATCTGCACATCGCGGGAAGTTCTGGCTCCTAACCAGGCGGGTTACCGGACTAAGACTCAAGTTACTGGACAAATAACCCGGCTTTTACCTTGTTCCGGGGCTGTTTACCGCCCATATATGGCCACAAAACCACCCTTTGACCAGCCCATAACCAGCACATAACCATCCATTGGTAAGGGCCAAACGGTGACGACATCTTTGTGGCAGGGCCCTGGCAGGGCCGCTTCATCCACGTGCCCCCAGCAGGACCCTCTTCCGCTTGGAACGGCGACTTTTCGGTGGATAACCAGCTCATAACCCATCCATGGTTAAGTGCCAAAACGGTGACAAATTCTGTGTGGCAGGGTCGCTTTATTCACGTGCCCCCGGCAGGGCCCTCCTCCGCCTGGAACGGCGACTTTTCGGTACCCTGGTGGAAGGACCGTCGGTACCGGATCGGACGGCTGTCGTCAAAGTTGCAAACGGTCCGCATCAAGAACGTGATGACGGAACAAGAGGACCTGATGGAGGTAACGGCCTTCCGCTTCTAGTTTCCGGTTCGGTTCCGTTTCCGTTTATCTGCCTCCACCTTGCGGACAATGTTGGGATTGAGCGCGCGTGATAGTACGCTGTTTGAGGGACAACTGCAGAGCCTCACGTCCTATTTGGAGGTAGTCCATTGTCGCGGCAACGCCGAAGGTAAGCGCATGCACACACCTAGTTGCTTCTATGCTGGTTGCTCGTAGTCGATCCGTTCTCGTTTGGCTTACTCGCTGGGTGCTGGAAGGAAAGGTGCAAACAAGAGATTGCGTGCGTGTCCAGCTCGCTCGCACACCGTTCCAAGCAAGGGATGCGAGTAGATGAACGAGTCGCTTCAAAGGCGGCAGTTCATTTTCTAGTTTTCAATCTGGAGTGAGACGCACAGCTGGACGGCACTTTCGACAGGGAACAACTCAAGGTAGTCGCAAATGCTCTCCGTTGAACATTGAAGAGCAAGAGTAGAGTATCATATAAGGGGCAGTCAGCCGAACCCAGAGTCACTCCAACATTAACCTGGCTTAATCCGTTGTGTCTGGAATCTCCGACCGACTGAAATCGATCGATTGATTTTATCAGAAGCTTTTGCTCCGGCAGGTCTGCTTTCATTTTGTCATGGCAACGCGTTGAGGTACTCACAGCGTCTCCGAAGCGAGTTATTACAATCAACAGCCCGCAAACACTGAATCATCTTTCTTTTCAGGTTCCGGTCGAAGAGACCATCGTCGAGATTCGAGAACGATACCTTGAGCGGAACGCGCACGCCCGCAGCTACACGTGGAAGGCGATGAGGGATACACCGGACAATCCGGACCGTTTGTTCGTTCCGCTGGACATGGAGAAGACGCTGGCGGAAAACGGAATAGCGGACGAGTCGGCCGTGTTCAACGAGCTTGGCGTGCCTGCGGACACCTTCTCGGCAGTCATTCATTTGTACTACAATGACGATTTAACAGTCGCTTGAAAGGAGGACCGTACCAGCTGTCGTTATCTGTCTGGCTTCCTTCTACAAGTGTCGAAAGACAGAAGAGCATGCGAGTCTCAAGTTAACTTTGCTGCTCGGTTTCTCGAAGCTCGAGAAGCTCGGCTGTTCTTGATTCAAACATGTGCTGCAGTATACATTCAGTACGGTTGGGTACGTAGACATTGGGTACGTAAGATGATGGCTATATTCCTATATAGTTGCATGTTGAGTGATCCCGCAGCTGTGCGTGGTGCTTTTCATGGATTCGACGCGCTTATGTTGCGTGGATCCCGGTCGCGGGCCCATATATCTAGTCAAGTGCTCCGTGCAGTGTGTGCAGTCGCGATCGCGGCAAATGCCCAGGCCGATTGACAGGACCATTGTCTGATTACTTGCATGGACAAAAACTGCGAATGTACGGTACAAAGCCTTGCCAGAAGCCAGTGCTGAGTGCACCATGGCTTTCCAACTTTTATCGCACTGTGGTCGCCAACTGGCCGGCAACAACTAGCGGTCCACACGCCGCAGTTCAGACAAAGTGCAGCAGGATGCGACGGCACGCGTCCAGTCGATCGTCGGACAATCATTCTCACCGCCGTATCAGCAGTTGCATGTCAGCGCATGTGTATGCTACTCTTAAAATCGAAGCAGTGATCCAATCAGATACTATAATTTGCGCAGGGATATAGAGTGGATATAGATCGATCGTAACGCGGGCCTGTACGTGGCGGCCGCAGCTATGATGCTGGCGCCCATGCCCAACCAAAGAACTCAAGAGCGCGGCAAATCGAAAGACGTACTAAGCATGACAGGCGCATGTCGAGCTGGCCGCCATGAGTGATCTGTAAGAAAGGTATAGAATCCAACCGAGTTACGGGGCATACATTCTACGAATTTCTACCGTCTGTGGTGTTCAGTGCCATTGCAATGATTGCATGCCGGAGCTGGACTCGGATTAAGACCAGAACTTCAGAAATTCATTTGGTTGAAGCTGTGTCCGTGTACGGTAATTTTAGGCAGCATTTTGTAAGATAGTAAATCTGGATGAGTGCCACAATGTAATTGAGTTCACCGCGTAACGCGTGATTCAAAGACAAACTAATGCCGGCATCGGATTGAAACAACCGGCTTTCCAGAACTAGTACGTACAGATTGAGCCGCCCGTTCTTAGCATATGGTCATGCGGTCCAGGTGCGGCCAGCAATTTAGCTGTACAAGGTCTACAGGTGTCCGTCCTTTCATTGAATCAATTCTTGAATTGGAGAAACTGAAATCTGCTCTGTAAGATCCTAAGCAAGTGCTACATCCCTTTTAAGAAATGCAATCTGCCATCCCCAAAGACTCCAGCCTCAATCTTGCTCGCCTTTTCATTTCTGTGCGTCATCTTTATTCCTCTCATGCTTGGGCGGGTGTCGGCGCGTAGGCGTCCGCATTGTCACGAACTCCTCCGCAGTAGAGGGGTGAATCCCAATCTGGATGGACAAGAAGAAGGCTTCAGCTTCAGCTGAGTGACAGCTTTGACCTTACACATTTAGACGAAGTGCGACATTTAGACGTTTTGCACAGCCAGACAATCCTTCCGTCACGGATGACGAACGACCACCGAGAAAGGGAGTCCGAAATGACAGCCGGTTGAAGTAGCAACTCCTAGGGAGCACCACCGAATCTCCTGGACGAAAGGGCAGCGCCAGCCAAATCCTCTGACGATGAACGATTGTGAACCCGTCAAACGGATTCGGCGACAACCTGATTCCTCGGTTCACCGGATTCATCGATGCGAGGTTGTCCCGAAATCGGGCCCGGGACTTTAAACCGGTTGTTTTATGACAGTCTACATGGAAGATGGAAGAAGGGGACCCATGAAATATCGACACGAAGACAACTAATGAATTCTACAAAACATCCTCACCGTTGTATCGAAGTGCTTCTTGGTCGCCCCCGCCTTTATCGCGATTGCGATCCCCTGGATGATCTCAGCGGCGTCCGGCCCGACCATCCCGGCGCCCAGGATCTTGTCCGTCTTCTCGTCCACAATCAGCTTCATCAAGGCCTTCTCCTGCCGCCTGCAAGAAAGAACCCGATGTACGATCTCAGAAACTCCAAACGTATGAGTGGTTCTAATGTCAGCTGAATCAGGGCCTTCTGCTGACACCTGCGTTTCGATGAGACAAGTTGCTATACAGTGCCAGAGACTCCATGCGTACGGATGATTCCAGAGACAGTTTCATGGGGGCCTTCTCCTGGCGCCTGTGAAGCAACAATAGAAGCCCTTGTATACTTCCAAGAACTTGCTATTTTGGAGTGAACGAGTTCCCGGTTCAGAGGCCCTGTAGAAGATTTTATAGGTCGGAGTGAACGAGTTCCGGGTCCAGAGCCGGTGAGGAACTGCGGGTTTCGGACTTCAGTTCCTTGCAGCTGGCGAGAGCCAGCTAGATATAGCTCCTTAGTACCTGGTCTTTTCAACACAAGGAAACAACAGAATTACGATGACACCAGAGCTGAGGACGAGTTAACAACTAGGTCGCAAGTTGCTAAAGAGCAGACCGCTCAGTAACTGGAGTTTTCGCCCACTTTGCCTTAAGGACCCTCTTAGAAGAAGCAGATTCGAAAACAAAGCGCTGGTCACTCACCCGGAGATGGTGTACTTCATGGGATTGAAGGTGGACGTGAACACGAGGACCTCGTTCTCGCACTTCTCCACCGCCTCGTCCTCGGAAAGACCCACCACCGACAGCGGCGGTTGGCTGCACGGGCGGTAACGGAACGTTCAGAGGGGCTTCTCCGATGCAAACGCGAAATAAGCGTCAACAAACGTTTTGTGCTTAGCAGCATCCTGATGAGAGAATCAGTCAGGTTTGTAGGTTTCGGATGTAATGGGAGCGACCTTCGTGAATTTTCTGGTCATTTCCTGAGACGCACCTGCTCTTCCGTTCTGCTATGAATTGAACGTTTGGCACAAGATTGACTTTGCGAACTGGTTATTGACGTCGTACCGTGCTTTGAATCCGTGAATTCCTCATCTCCGTCTTCTACGAATCTTCTTTTGCATCGAGGCATGACTATGCACACGCTTCCACTTATCGCCTTTGGAAGTGATAGCTGGCAGGAATTTCTTTGCAGCACAAAATTCATCACACTTCACATCCTCTTGCAACAAAGACCATCCATGCCTTCGTGTCACAAACTGCAATTGGGCTTTTCTCGGCAGCGTCTCTTGCAGCCAATCACCAGAATACTTCCAGAGATTCAGGGAGAACTTGATAGACTAGCCAGCTTCGAATTGCAAAGATGGAGCAGCAAGAAAGGGGCGCTCACCAGAAGACCGCGGATGCAACGTTCCTGTGGTCGCCAGGCGTCGGCTCGTTGTTGAACAGCGTTTTCTGCGAGGGAGAGTGGAATCAGAACGTGCTCTTGGAATCGTGATTGGACTGATGAAGCCAACTGAGAGCGTTTGTCAGAGTGGTGATCGCGTTGGCTGATTGGCTTCATCGAATGCTTTAATATGACGATCATTATCGAGGACTGGACCGGATTGCGCTGGAGCTGACGAGGAAAGACGACAGCTTCCTGGCAAAGCCAGCGGAAAAATCAACTTTCTGACTCCGCATAAGGACGATGCGGTGCAGTGTCTGCACCGTCCGAAGGAAGTCAGCTCAACTTGACTGTGCGCCTAGTCCCCTTGATTTTGTCGAGAACGAAGCGTGGATTAACCGCATAGTCCCCAACCGGGCAAACGAAGGTATTGTTACAATCATAGCGGAGACCCAGTCCTTTGAAAACTGGTGCGACAGACGAGAGCATCTCACCGCGACCGCGTGTCCCTCCATGAGCGCGACAGGTGTCAGGGCGATCCTGTTCGTGACGTCACCAACGGCGTAGATGTTATCCACGCTCGACTTGGAGTACTCGTCGACCTGCGGTTTGGGGGGGAGCATTTGCACCAGGAGTGACACCCTCATAAGTCTCCACTTCCTACCAACACCTCATACCCCCCAGATATGGAAAACAATTGAGGGAATAATGAATCAAGGGTTGTGATATGCAGACATATTTGCATCAGAGCGAAGCGTTTTCGAATGAATTACATAGAGTGCATTCTGGCCTTCTCAAAGCAACTTTCATCTCGTCAGTTGAAAAATCACAGTCCCGGACTCATAGCTCTCAAACAACCAAGCTCCGAAGGATAGTGTCGAATGGTCGAAGGGGGGGGATAAAATAGCAGAAAAGCAATCGTTCGTGCACAAAAGCGAAGCACCTTAGACGAAGCGGCCAGTATCTTTCCGGGGTAGTCGGCAGAGGCAATCAGAAATGCAACAAATCAAAAGTTTTGAATCCAAGAGTTGGCCCTTACGATGACCTCGCCCTTCTTGCCCAGCTCAACCCCTAGCTTGTCTAGGCCAAGCCCGTGCGTCTTGGGCAGACGTCCTGCGGATGAAGAAGACTCTGTAAGTTTACTCGCGGAAGGTTATGCTCGGACTGGGATGTTCAACGAAGGCAGAGGCATCGCTCAGCTCACGAATGAAAAGGGAAAAGAAAAGATGATCAACTGTACGACATAAGGAGAAAGACAGATGACTGGTCTCTGTACAATAAGAAGAGAAAGAAATAGATGAAACGGTCAGCTTAAGCATGACTGGGAAAGGACAATCGGCTATTAAATGGAAGGAGCCGACGAGAGAGAGCGACACAGATGCCCGCCTGCGGATTCGAGAAAGATCGTCGGGTTGAATGATCCATGCGCACTCTCAAGTCCATGAGCAATTTTCAGCCAGCTATCAACGTTAGACAAGGACTTGAGCTCGACAGCGGAACTCGAAAGACATTTCCAAACCCTTTGATTGTTAGTCCCCAGTGCTTCGCCGAACTCGCCTACATCCGTCAACGAAAAGAGAGCAGATGGGACCCCGACCCCGCTAAACTGCAGTACTCAGCATCGACTAGATAGTCTGGACGCTCAAGACCTACATTGAAGACCAATTTCGAGCAAGCGAAGTTGCGCATTCTGCTAAACGGCTCACCTGTAGCGAACAGCACGACGCCCGTCTCGATCTTGTCGCCCTTGTCCGTATGCACTACGTAACGCTCGTGGCCCAGCTTCTCAATCTGCACGAAGATGGCGTTTGTCAGAAGTGTTAAACCGGAAACCTGATTTGGTGAAGCCAGAAACAGGCTCCTGGCAGCGATGATCATTGGAGACGTGAAGAGGAATGAATTGGTAAAGGCCTCATACAGAGGCCAACTGTCAGAGGGGAGAAATGCAATTTCAAAAGCTGAAAATAGACGGAAAGGCCAACTGTCAGAGGGGAGAAATGCAATGTCAAAAGCTGAAAATAGACGGATAAAGTTTGTCAGACAGAAAGCGCATACATAGCAGGCGTACGTCTTGACGGCCATTCCCTCAATATTTCGTGACCAAGTCTTGGCGGTGAACTGGTAGTATGAAAAAGGTGCAAACGCTGCAATCTGCCGTTGTACCACGATTCGAGCAGATAGCCTCGGTCCCTGCTGAAACACGAAGATGAAGGTTTGAAACTCCAAGAAAACAAGCAGGTAGCGTGTGCGGCAGGCAAAGACCAGGCCGCTCTCGTGGTTGCTTTTTGGATCCCACAACCCCCCCCCTCTCCCGGTCCATGAAACGCCGCGAGACCATCTCTCGAATCTCAGGAGGGCTCACCTCCTGCCAACAAATAGAAGGAGGATATACAGACACCTACATTAACCTCGCTATCTTTGTTCACTTCGTGTCCAGGTGCCAATGTGGCCTTCGCTTTAAGATTCTGCAAAACAAACATGAGGGGGACTGCTGCCGCAAATGCTCACCTTCCTGAGATCCTGCCCGTTTGCAGACGAGCTCCTCGGTTTTGCAGCCTTCGCAACGCTGTTTCACACATCTCTGACGTAAGCGCATTCAGAACAAACCAAAAACTCAAGAAGGGGATACTGCCGTCACCCTCTCACCTTCGTAAGGTTCGTCTCAGGTTTCAATATGGATCCCCAAATCCTTCCGATACCTCAATGCCCGTCTCATCACATCTCCATGAGAACGCATCTCCAAAGAAAAACGCATAAGGGGCACAAAAAAACCGGTTGCCGCTACCCGCTCACCTTCGTGGGAGTTCGTATTCCGGGTGCAGCCGGATCCCTCGGTTCTTCAGATACCTTAACACCGTCTCGTGCTTCTTCAACACGTCATCATATTTCAATCAGTCAATGGGAAAAGATGAGCTGACGCTACCCTCATACCTTCGTGGGGTTCGCGTCCGGATCAGACGGCTCCCCCAATTCTTCAGGTTCCTCGACACCGTCTCACGCTTCTTCGACAAAACACATCATTCATACAAGTAAGGGGAAAAAGAAGTAAGTATAAAGGAACGAGGAGAAATGGACGGACGATACCCTCGTACCTTCGTGGGTGTCCGGGCGCAGCCGGAACCCCCGGTTCTTCCGGTTCTTCAACACCGGTTTACGCATCTCTGTGCCCAACTCCGATCACGAAAAGGCACGGAAGAATCAGTTGCCGCTACCTTCTCACCTTCGTGTTCGTGTCCCCGTGCAGCCGAATCCCCCGGTTCTTCAGGTTCCTCGACACCGTCTCACACAATCCCAGAAAAAGATGAATGGCACCACTCCGATGAGCAGAAAATAACAACAAAATTCAGTTGCCGCTACCCGCTCACCTTCGTTGGGTTCGTGTCCCCGTGCAGCCGGATCCCCCTGTTCTTCAGGTTCCTTGACACCGTCTCGCGCATCTCCATGTCGAAGCCGCGCAGCGGGTGCGGCTGCCGGTAAATGAGGTCCACCTCTAACCCTAAGCCGCTCCAGATGCCCGCGAATTCCACCGCGATGTAACCTCCCCCGATGACGACCGCCTTCTTCGGGAGTTCCGCCAGGCTCAGCGCCTCGTCAGAAGTGATGCCGTATTCCTGCCGGGGCGGGACGCGGATTTCATTGAGCAAGGTCGGAAGCGTTTGGGTTCAGCAGCGAAAGCGAACAGAATTTTTGTAAAATGTTAGTCCAGAAAATCGAACCAGAATATTAATCAAGGGTTTCGAAATTTTCCTGATCGAGGGTTCTCGGATCGTCTTCTGATGACCACAACGGCCAGTGTGAATGAGGTTATGAACCAAAGGAAAGTATACCCTTTAACTGAGACCGCGAGCCCACCACATATGGAGACACGCCATCTTGTCGCTTTGGTCGGTTCACTTTTAAGAGTCGGGGGCGATTCGACCGTGTACTAAGAAAGGCTCACAAAATTCCCAAGCTCCTCCAAAGACACCTTTTTCCAGCCTACAGATCTTTGAGACGTTCCTACAATCCAGACCTGAAGGTCTCAGCTTCTTAAAAACTTTCAAGAGTTCAATCAGACGGTTGACGCACCTTGCCCGGAATGTCGATAAAGACGGCGCGGGCCCCCGTGGCCACCAGGACGTACTTGGAAGTCACAGACTGCTTCTCCCCTGAGGAAACGTCCTCCACTTGAACGGTGTGCTTGTCGAGTAGGCTCGCCCGCCCCTCGAACGTCTTTACATTGGTTAGGAGCTTCTTGTAGACGGCGTTCAGCCGGGTAATCTCCCGGGTCTGGTAAGCGGGATTAGAAGCGCGTTAAGAGCCGGTTAGGAACAGGGTTCGTCTCATGGTAGTAAAGGAGAAGGTAGTTGAGGGCAACATCTGATCAATTACCGGCAATTTCAGAGAGCGTTCTCTTTCTGTTCAGCGGCGAGACGGGTAAAATACACATGTCTGTGGAAGCAGGATTTGGAGGAAGGGTCGGCTGAAAGGGTTCAACAATCGATCAGCAAAAATGTGTTTCCTAGAAACCATCTAGGTCTGGGAAAGCGCCCAGCAGCATCTTTTGCACGGGTTCCAGGATGGGGATCTTCTCCCCACACCAAGAGACAGAGGAGAAAAAGAGTCTATATGAAAGCTTTGATAGGCTCGTTTGCAGAGGACCATTAGATGATGGGTAAGTCGCAATGATGCAGAGCCTGCAGAGGCCGGCAAGCAGCTGTGCCACTTGAAAGTACTGATAAGGCTTGGTCCAAATCCGGCAATGGAGTAGAAGCAGTGAAGGACAGCAGTTGATCAACAGATAATTTGTATTTTCGTAGATGTTGAAACTCCACCGTCAGGTCAGGACACTTTTACGAAGTCGCAAAGATGAAATACTGTCCGTCTTTCTACAGACTTCGCAATGATCGGACAAAGAGAAACTAGACAACCCAAACATTCAGGACCTTGTCGCGCCAGTGCCCCTTCCAACAAGGTCACGAGCAGAATAAAGTGCATTCAAAGAGCCCCTACCTTTTCTTTCAGAAGATGCTCCCAGTTGCACTGGATATCCTCTGGGATGCCCCAGCCAAAACCACGCGCCTCCTGCACGTGACATGTGCTTCAAGAGATTGAAATCAACCAAATACAGGTATTGGCACCCTTTTAAGGTCGCGGTGCTTGCAAGTGTTGGCAGGGACTTCCATTATGCTACAAACGCGAAACAAGAGGCAACCCTGTGTTTCCAGAACTGAAACGGATCATACTTGGAGCTTGTTTGGTAGAGCAGAGCTGGTTGTCAGCACTTTGTGCATCTGACTGAGTTTCGTGTTTTGAAGAGCCAGGACTAGGAAACCATGGCAGCCACATCCTGAAACTGTTAAGTAAGTAATGCTTAGATTGATGGTTGAGCGATGCACACTTCTTTTTGAAAACACAAGTCATGTTTAGCGATTGCTACGCTCTTCAAACACTCGCACAAATATTTTTCGTTGACAATGAATCCAGAACGAAGCAGGGCACAACCTGCTAACCTGCATTTCTGCGCTGAAGGCCGACCCATACATCAGAATCTTCTTAGGCACGCATCCACGCAGCACGCATCTGCAAAAGTAAGATAGGGTTGACTTTGAAAAGAGTAGACCAGTAGTACAACCATCTTTGACTTTTGAAGTGCGTTTCGGGAATGTGGCTAAACACCACAACTACTTAAGTAGGAAGAAGAATGTAACAACCTATGGTTGGTTGTGTGCATTTCTATAATTCTTCACAATTACTGTAGGGGAGGACTACTTTAGGGGCATGATCGAAGGTGGAACGTCCAGGATCAGTATTCGTTATCCAGCTACCCTGTGCTGGCACATTGCTCATACTGCGGCCAATGTAACTCGCCCATCAATTGATTTGCATGGAAGGCTTCACGTTCCAATCAAAAATGAAAGAAAGGGTCACTTTTTCTCCCTGCGATTTGTTCCCACTAAGTTAATTCCTGCTCGTTGTTCCCACTAAGTTGATTCAACTCAAGAAACGGGGCTGCAAGAACTGTATTGCGTGACCCTCACTGCAACACTCGCACAGAAAAGAAGTCTGGGACGAAGCTACTAAAAACTCCTGTAGCAAAAACCAGAACATTTCATGGAAGCGACCCTTACGTGCCACCAACGCCGCCTTCAGTCTCGGAACTAACGGGGTTGAACGGCAATTCTGCAGCAGCGACCTGCATACAAGCCAACAGTTTCAGGTCAGCAAAAGATAATCACGTGTTGATCATCCAGAACTAGTCAGTGGAGGAAAGCCCAAAGTTACATGACTCGCGAGAAGAGGGAAGAAAATGATGATCATCACTTGCAAGTTTAGCATCAATGCTCGAGAGACCACCCTGTAATGAGCGGGCGGGGTTTCTTCTTACATGAAAGACCTCAAACAAGTCCTGGCAATGTGTTGAGGTGATTTGGATGAATGATCTCAAACCATTCAAATGGCTCAATCAGATACTGGGCTTCCACTCTGCCTGTACGGGTTTAGCAGACAGCAACATGGAAGAAAGAGTTTTGGTCTGATCTAGAATGAAACACCACCAAGTGAAGATAAGACATTGGAACATACAGGATTGAAAGACAATGTTCTCGAGAAAGAGACAGTGAATAAGCCCCCAAGCATGATCGTTGTTGATAAAAACAAGTGGTGAATTGCCGATTGAGTTGCGCAGAATATATAGGAAAGAATGACACGCTGCTGTACCACTTTCCCAACATCAGCAACCGGAAACTCAGCATCGCCTGTAAGCACTGGTCATTCGGGGCACACGTCAGAAAATGGAGAACTGGAAATCAACTTTACAGCATTGGAAAATCGACCTGCGGCATTATCGAAAGGATCAGTGACAAGGAAAAGGCGATACAAAAGAGCAGGCAAAACCAATATATAATAGACACACCTTCGCTCCATAGCTTGCGGCCATCCTTGCAGCTCTCACACCGCCGCTGCCTATGCCAATGACAAAAAAGTCATAATCATACGCTTTTCCACATTCTTTCTTCTCCTCTTTCCCATCGACCTGGAAGGGGCCTTCGCGCGGCATGCTTGCAGCCACAGACAAAGGCCGGACTTCGCTCTGCCAGAAAGCAAAAAAGCTTGGGCACGGGCCTGCTTGACAGAAACTCCGGGTGGACAGGATCTTGCTGCTGGCGAGACGAGCAAGCAAGGTTGCTTTCATGGAAGGGAAGGCAAATGCAATGCTGCGATTTCCCAACAGAGGTAGACCACAGCGCTGAGCTACATACAAAGTGCGATCACGCTTGTGTCACTAAGATTTTGACAACGCCCTCCTGGAAAGGCTGAAAACCTTGCACTTTTCCCCTTGAGAACTTTCTACGTGGCTTTCGAGATGCTTGCCCACGAAGCAGCTCAAATTCAGACCATTTGTAACCGTCGATCCATCGAACTGAGCCCTCTTTGCAAACTCATCCGTGGATTCGACTTACTGCACCCGACCACCTTGAGAGCCGTGGATTTCCAGACTGGGAGGGCAACGGACGGCTTCCGTTTTGGTAGCCCCCGGGCATTGGCACCCGGGGGTTTTCAATACTGCCCGAGAAGCACTTAGATGGACGCCCCGGGCAGCACCCGGTTTTGGAATCTCACTGTGGGCAGCTGAGCGGTTGTAGCCAATAGGAATGCAGCATTGGAAATCCAAGATGCGAAAAGTGCACTCGATTCGGCAGAGGTTGTCACAGCGGATTTGCAGCTTTGCTCTATCCACAAGGAAAAAGCCCGGGGCAGCAAAGAGAATTTGAACAGCACAAGGGAACTCCGAACCCAGAGAAGGACATGGTGAGGCAGGCGCTTTGCTTGACATCAGCAGCGAGTGTCTAGGCATTGGAGGGCGACGAAGTTGCAGACGACCAGAGAAGGAGGGTCCGGATTCAGAATGCAGAGATACCACTTAGTATCACGTCCCATGAATAAACGCTGGTAGGAAGCGGGCGCAGCTGAGGGGAATGCAGCTTGCTCAATCAACACTAGTGACTAGAAAAAGCAAGAGACATTTATCCTTGGAACCTTTTGCGTGTCCTTAATGTGAGTGTACTGAAACAGTAGGGAAGATGGCTGCAACCCGTAGTGCTTGCCGAGGCCTTAGCCAGGGGGTGCAGCTCGGTGCAGAGACACTTTCACGGGGCCAAACAGAGCTGAGCAGTAGTAGGACCTTCTTGAGGGCGCCCCCTCTTTGCAGCTCGTTCCATGGTAGGAAGCTTCCCGCAAGCAAGGGCTGCGGAGAAAGCTTTTTGGCACTGGGTTTAGAGGGCACCCGGTGTATTGAAGGGTTGTCCAGCGGAGTTGGTGCATTGCAGCTGGGGCGAGGTAGACAAAGACGGCAAAGCTGTAGAGCGGTCTCGGTAGCGGAGCCACCGTCGGCAGAGACAGGAGAGCCTGAGGACAGGTTGCGTGCTTCGGAAGCTGAGGATGCTGCCAACGGGGAGCCCCCTCCGGCTGGTCAGGATGGGGCGTCCTACTTTTCCGGAAGGACATACTTCCCACTAGCAGCAGTAGTTGGACAAGTGAGTCGCTTGTCAGGTTCTAATACAGTGCAGATTGCATTTCCACTTACGCTGGACAATAATGTTTCGCTCGCCAAGAAGAAAGCTTGTGCCTTCTTGGCCACCTGACGTGGCATGGCGCAAGGCAACCTCAATCCAGAGAAAGCTGTTTCTATGGTAGAAGAATGCAGCATCTTTCAGCTCAAAGTTATGTGTTGAGCATTGTACGTGTGCTTGCAAATGCGCTCTCCTTCTGCATTGCCTGGTAAAGTTGGCGCTGGTAATGATTTGAGGAGTGTGGTCGGACTGGCGCAGATGTCCTGGACTGGTTTTTGTGTTGAGACGGGTGCAGTTAGTGTCTGTTTCTCAAACCCTATTTTGCATTCTTGAGAAACATCCGTGCAACATTCCACTTTTCATCCGCTGAAGGTCGCCCCTTATTTACTAGAGCTCTTCAGGATGATCAAGGCAGGGACATTGAATCTTTTTTGAGATGCTGTGAAGATGTACCTTTCTATTTTTGAACTCGGTCTGCCAATGCTGGAGATGAAAGTCACTCTTAAAGTTTCGGTCCTCTCACAACGGAGCCGTTTCCGGCCAACATTATAAGCTACTTGTAGCTCTTTTGAAAGTGGCCTCATGTACCATTTCTTGACGAGATGGATCGCTGTGATTTGCAGGAGTCAATAAAAACCGCCCTTCTTCTCGGAGCCATTGACAATGACCTCGGGGGGATTGCAATTTCCGGAAAGAAGGGCACCGCCAAAACGGTGATGGCGCGCGGGTTGCACGAGATTTTGCCACCGATCGAATGCATTGACGGGAGCATGTGCAATGCAGACCCGAACAAGCCTAGGGAGTGAGATATTTTCGCGGTTTTCTATGCAGCACAAAACTGCATCAGCTTGAGGCAATGCAGGTGTGCAAATGTGTGTTGCTTGCACTATCTGACTTTCTGAAACCTGGTCTTTTCACAGTTTGTTAGTGAATGAACATTATAAGGGTTGCTTCTGCAATTGGAACAGTTTTCACCAGCTCGGAGCCCAGGAAAATGGGAAATTTGGCTTCTTTTGCAGACCCCCAGATGAAGAAACACACCTTCTGTTTGGGTGTATGGATTTCTAGGGCGAACCACCCAGAAGCCTTTTCAATTGAGTGGCATTTGAGTGGCAGGTGATGAAATGCTGAAAGCATCAGAATTGGCAGGTATGCTGGGGAGGAGAGCGTTGCTTCCTTGAATGGACAAAAACCACCACCAATTCTTTTTGCTTCTTTCCCTCAAGCAGGAAGACATTTCTCTAGTCGTTGATCTCGCAGTGTTCCTTGGTGTTACATTTTCAGAAGCTACCCCTCAAAAGTAAAGAAGGAGAAGGAGAGCTTCCTGACAGCATTGTAACTGGTGCAGGTGGGAGGACAAACTGAGCGATAACCTTAAATATGATGACGAGGGGAACGTGAAGACGCTGATCAAGAAGGCTCCTTTCGTTCAGGTAAATGCATGACTCAGGGTTTCAGAATCTAGGGTTTGGGGTTTCATGCAATAATTTACCGCTGTTGGCCATTCTCCGTAGGTCCACAGGCAAGCGTTTGTAAAAAATGGAACTCATCGATTTAAGCGTTAGTCGGGATTGCACGTCAGGTGCCAGTGACTTTTTCAAAAACAAGCCAGGATATGGCTTTCCCCCCAGCCTGGCACAGCTTCCTTCGTGCCAGGGAACTTTACCGTGTTGGTTTTATGATTTTTCGAGCCCCTCCCTCCTTGAAGAAGCCAAAGATGAATTGTCCCATACATCCCAACATGACTCGTCCTTTGTCCCATGCAGATTCCCCTTGGAATCACTGAAGACCGACTGATTGGTTCCGTCGATGTGGAGCTATCCATCCAGTCCGGACAGACTATCTACCAGCCAGGGCTGCTAGCGGAAGCGCACCGGGGGGTTCTTTACGTGGACGAAATCAACCTGCTCGATGAGGGGATCAGCAATTTGCTGCTGAATGTGCTGACAGAGGGCTGGGTACGAGTGGAGCGAGAGGGGATCAGTTTCAAGCACCCGTGCAAACCGCTCCTGATTGCGACGTATAATCCGGAGGAGGGGGACTTCCGCAAGCATCTGTTTGACCGGATTGCAATCAACCTGAAGTAAGCATGGCGTCATAGCTCGGTGATAATGAGCAGATTGTTTCTGGCTCCCAACAACTAGACGTCAAATTTGCTGCAAGGACCAAAAGAGGATTGCTTATGATTGGAAAAGGAATCTTACAATTGCATTTCAGCCACGACGTACACGTCTTCTTCCGCACCTTAACAATAGGACCATAAGGGCTTCGTTGTGTGCGCGTCTGACAGAAAGTAGGGGCAAGGTGTGCTGAGATCAGTGTCCGACCTCTGAAAGCAGTGGCTTTTAGAGCCCTCCCAATGTGTGCATCGTTGCCTGTCTTCATCCTCACATTTCCAACCTTCTATTCACTTTCGTTGTATGGTGTGCTTCTTTGCAGTGCCGATTTTGACCTGCCGTTCGAGGACAGAATAGAAGCCGTGGGGCTGGCAGAGAGTTACCAAGACAATGCAGCGGGCGTCGAGGAGAAAGCTAGGGAGGCGACGGAGCAGATGAAGACAAACGTGAGTGGGAGCACATGTTTCTGAATTGGTTTATAGATCATGAGACTCAATGAAAAGGTGGGGAATGACATCAGGACTTGGCTGTTACAGACCAAGTCTGGCCTGTCCATACGGTTGGATATAGAGGGGATGGGAGTGTAAGTAGAGCTGCTAAACACATGTTGGAGGCTTGATCTCAAAGGCCGCTGTCAGTAGATGCGAAGGAGCTAGTGTCCTGAGTAGCTCATCGAAGGGGTGCCAAGGGGCTGAAAGTGTCCTTACGTACACATTGAATATAGTCGGGGACTATTTGGAGGGCTGATTCTTGCCTGTTGCTTCCGCTGGATGTCAAACCAACGATTGTTGCTCATGCAGGTGATTCTTGCTAGGGAGTATCTGAGGGACGTGAAGATCACGTCTAAGCAGATCAACTATCTCGTGACGGAGGCGATTCGCGGACAAGTGCAGGTAAGCTGGTTTTCAAAGAATGATACACGCTCGTCATCCTGCCGCTAGGCAGGTTTGGAGGACGCTACCTTCTCAACATTTTTACCATCGTACTCTCGAAGGATTCTGCACTTGGGGCTAGATCCTGAAGAGATGCAGGAGTACCTGTTGAAAGCAGATTAGCAACAAGGAATTGAGGGACTGGGGCTGTACTGTTTCAAATGGGAGTGTTGCGTATACTGTTTCTTTAAGGCTGAGGACGCTTCAGATTGTTGGGGCTGGGAAGAATTGGTTTGGCACTGCTTCAAAAGAAGCTGGAACGTCAATCAGCGGGCTCATTTGCAAACCAGACTGCATAAGTAAAACCGGTGCCTGGTCACTTGCAGGGGCACCGAGCGGAGATCTACGCCATGAAGGTTGCCAAGGCCCTGGCAGCATTCGAGCAGAGGGACTACGTCAGTGAGGGTGATCTGACTGATGCGGTAAGTGTCTTCTCAAGAGTCGCTGGTTGCAACAGCCCTGCTATTGTTGAACATAGTCGTTGGATGCATTGATTGGTAAAACTGCCCGAGCCCCTCTCGAAAAGCTGCAAATTCTTTGACAGTTGTGGTATCACATTGCATAGTTCTACTTGGCTTGGAAGACCAGGGGGAAGCTATCTCATGTGGATTGCATTGTATGAGTGCTTGGATTATAAGGCTCAATCTGGGGCGATTCTTCCCTGTTCGACCATAAGAGAAATACTACATATTGACCAGCGTTGAGCTTGCCAAATGGGTTAAGCTGGGGAGAACAGTGAGCCAGTCACCGAGCTACTCTTTTCAAACGTTCTCTTGTGTTCCCTTTCTTGTCTCCTCACCTCAAGCCCATACACATACACAACTTCACTGGAGCAACATGCCAGTTATAGTATAAACCAAATCAGATGAAGTTCACTCAGTAAGAGATTGACGAACTTTTTTACAGGCAGACTGGCAGGCTGCTTGGGAACCGCTGTATCGAGAAAGAGCTATCAAAGTCCCTGTTTGCTTATGCAGGTGAAGCTGGTGACCCTGCCCCGCTCCATCTACATGGACGTGCCCTCATGACCAGCTAACTAAGTTTTCCTGCTTTTTGGTTTTTTGTCTCATCATCCCGTTTCACCATATATTCAAAACTAATTTTGTCAACTGCTCCGCTTGCTTATACAGGTGAAGCTGGTGATCCTGCCCCGCTCCATCTATATGGACGTGCCTCCTGACCAGCAGCCGCCTCCCCCGCCCCCGCCCCCGCCGCAGCCGCCTCAGGCTCAAGACGAGGAGGAAGACGAAAAGGAAAAGGAAGAGGTCTGAGACCAATTCTCTTTTTCTTCGTTTGTTTTCGGGTCTATTACTAAACAGTTGTGCAATTGAGAGCCATGGTTGTTTATATGATGGCAAGCTTGGGTCCGAGCACTATCGAGCACAATGAGTGAGCAAACGCCTTCTTTCTTGAGACTTTGCTTGCCAGAGTTGATTGCATTGCCGCAGCAAATTGCAAAAACGGATATGGCGGACGAGTAAACGGATCGAATCCCCAAGAAGGCCGTGTCAAAACTTTTTCCGTTTTCAACAGGAGGAAGAGGAGGACGACGACAAGGAGGAGCCGGACGAGCAGCCGGACCAAGTCCCCGAGGAGTTCGTGTTCATGTCGTTTCTTGTCATGTAAAATTCGCACAGGTTTTCGCACCTGCCACATGGCGCTCATTCAATGGCTGTCTTGTCTTTCAGGAAGAGGAGGAGGACGACGACAAGGAGGAGCCGGACGAGCAGCCGGACCAGGTCCCCGAGGAGTTCGTGTTCGTGCCGTTTTTAGACTTGTCAAGTTCGAGCAGATTTGATCACCTGCCACGTGGCACTCATCCAATGGATCTCTTGCCTTTCAGGAAGAGGAGGAGGATGACGACAAGGAGGAGCCGGACGAGCAGCCGGACCAGGTCCCCGAGGAGTTTGTGTTTGACGCGGAGGGCGGGCTGCAAGACCCGGAGCTGCTCATGTTTGCGCAGCAGGCGCAGAAGCGCAAGGGCAAGGCGGGGCGCTCGAAGAACCTCATCTTCTCGCAGGACCGCGGGCGCTACATCAAGCCCATGCTGCCCAAGGTCGGTGTTCTTTCCATTTTAGTGACTTCGGGTAGTTTTCAAAGCTTCTATGATTATAGATTGGGGACTGTATGGGACCCTTGCAAGATCAAAGGCGCCACAACCGGCTCGTGCTTTCTCAGGTGTGCAGTGACGAATCGTAGTTAGATGTTGGCAGTTGCAGTTTTGTCGAAAACAGATGCATCGCAAGGGAAGAGAACATGTCAGACGAAAGAGAAGCGATTCTTTAGACATGCGTTTACATCTGGCTAAGAAGGGGCTCCTGGAAATGTTACCGAGAACGATTGAGCTCTTCGGCCATGCGACTGTATTTTACACACCGAAACTCAGACATCCCCTTCTCGTGAGTACAGGGCAGGGTGATCCGGTTGGCCGTTGACGCCACCCTGCGCGCCGCGGCTCCATTCCAGAAGGCGCGGCGAGAGCGCGCGGAGTCCGGCCGGGCGCGCATCAAGAAAGTGTACGTTGAGGACACGGACGTGCGGACCAAGCGTATGGCGCGCAAGGCAGGCGCCCTGGTGAGTGCTGATGCAAATCCTTTTGCACCTCCTGGATCTCGTACGGTTCCTTGCTGGTGGAGTGTTTCAGGGTTAGCGATTTTCATGCAGAGAGTTGGGCATTTTCGCTGTCGGCTACGTGGTCGAGACTTTGGGCGCTGAGCCCCTCGGGAGAGTCCTGATGCAGGGAGGCTCGAAAAGAGAATCTGGGTGTGCGTTGGCTACTCTAGAGGTTGGGCGTCCCGCTTCGTAGTGAAAAGACGTCGCAGTGTGTACTGTTATGAATGCACCAAAAGTTCAGCCTACTCATGGCTGCCCGTCCAACAAGCCCAGTGGTGTATGCTGAAACGAAGCGGCCGATTTAGGACTCTGACAACCCGTGAGCAATTTCCGAATTGCAAAGCCGCGTGTGCATGTCCGACTTTTGGAGAAGCTTTTGACGTGTCTGTTTTCCACAGCTTCGACTGCGCATGTCGGTCAACTGTTGTGAATGGTAGGAATTCAGAGATGCTGCAGGACGCAATCCGTAGCGCCCAGGGCCGATTTGCAATCGCCGGTTTTCCTAGACAGGGACTACAATCACCTGTTACGAGGGGGCACATTGAGCCAGCGAAACAGAGAACTGGCTTGGGGCTCGGCGCTTCGTGCAGCAGCTTGTGTAAAGATCCCAACGGTCGGTTGTAGGCCTTCAGGGTTTCAGGGTTTCAGGGCCGGACTGTTTCGTCCTAGTCCCAACGGTCGAATTACATTTCTGCCAGGTCATCTTCGTCGTGGACGCCAGTGGCAGTATGGCCCTGAACCGCATGAACAACGCCAAGGGCGCCGCCCTGCAGCTGCTCAACGAGAGCTACCAGAGCCGAGACCAGGTGAGCAGCGTTCCAAACCAGTGCTCTCAACCCTGCGTTCGTCCTCCTTATTCTGTTGCAAATTCCTGAATGCAGTACTTGAGTACCATATAGTGTAGCGTGTCTGAGGTCTGTGTGCACCTCCGGATCGGGGTGCAACGATGGGTATTGCTTCTCTCAGTGCACTGGAGCGGAAGCGGAACGAAACAAAAAGCCGCGAGATGAAAGCAGCAGCGTTTGGCCCACCGTTGCGGTTGCGCCTTCTCTTTCACTACGGACTGGGGAATGGGCAGGAACTCGTTGACTAGGGTGAATGTAAATGCAAGCCAACAATTCTCCCACAGGTCGCCATCATTCCTTTCCGGGGGGAAGCCGCCGAAGTTCTGCTGCCCCCCTCTCGATCCATCGCCATGGCCAGGAAGCGTCTCGACAGGCTGCCCTGCGGAGGGGGATCGCCCCTGGCCCACGGCCTGACCACGGTGCGCCCCCCTTCCCATTCACCCTGCCTTCCACTTTGTGCCTTGCACTTCTTTTGAACAAGTCCCACTTAAAACGACGTGGCAAAAAGCAGATTGCCTAGTTGGTTAGTGTTTGTTTTCCGTGTTCCGAGAGGGAAGACGGTTGACGGTCAGAAGGGGGTCTCATTGCGCTGGTCGCCGAAGTCGGCTCCGCTAGAATTAGTCTACGTTCTAGCACATTTCGCCTGGCGCGTGTGACAGCTGTTGTCAAAAAGCCAAGTCTGGGCTCTTTTCTCATCTTAACCAGAGAAAGTTGTTACTTGGGTATTGGACTTTTGATCGGACCTACTAGCCCCTCTCACCGTTCTGTGACTCCGCTTTCTCTCCAGGCGGTCCGTGTGGGCATCAACGCGCAGTCCAGCGGGGACGTCGGACGTGTCATGATTGTTGTTCTCACGGACGGTCGGGCCAACATCCCGCTCAAGCGGTCGCTCGGCGAAGAAGGGTTTATCGGGCCCGATGCTCCGCGGCCCAGCCAGGCAGAACTGAAGGTGAGACTCAGTTCAGATGATTTGGTTTTATCGCTCTTACAGCTGTAGAAGGAAAATCCCCGCATTGACGTAAGCTGGAAGCCTGGTCATCTATGAAGAAATCTAGGAGGAAGTTGAGTCGATGTCGGCCGGCAGAAGACCAGCTTGAAAGCGCAGAAGAGAACTTCGCCCTATACAGTGCTGACGTTGTGCTTGGATGCATACCGAAGTTAGATGTCGTTGAAATGCCGTAAAGGCCTGGGCACAGGAAATTGCCAAGTGAAACAAGTATCTGCTTGTTGCTATGGGGAACGATTTTGTCGTTTCGAGAGCACCCCTTTAAGCTTGCCTCCAAAAAAGTCTCCCAGTAACGCCCGATACTGCCGGATTCACTTGGCTCTTAATCCGTGACCACGTGGCCCTTGTAGGAGTCTTATAGCAACGGGACACAGAATCAGCGTGATTGACATCGAACAAAAACAGCAGAGGGACTTGCACTTTAGCCGCTTATAATTCAGCCTCAAGCAAACACTTCTTCGGCCGTCCAGCAGGGCCGTTCGTACTGGCTCGCAACGCCCTAGAAACGGAAATGCAGACTCAGGGGAATGCAGAAATAAACAGTATAAAATGTTGCGCAGGAGAGCGACAGTTGTTGAAAATCATGCTATTGTGATGTGCAGGAGGAGATCCTGGGGATCGCCGCGAAGGTGTACCTGTCCGGCCATTCACTGCTGGTGATTGACACGGAGAACAAGTTTGTGTCGACCGGGTTTGCCAAAGAGATTGCCCGGGTTGCTCAAGGTAAGCCTTCGACCCACTACTCTGCTTAGTTATCTGGCGGAATTCGCTTTTTCCAATAGCGGTGTCGAGTATGGGTCCACAGCCTTGGAGGGCTCCGATTGACTGTCGAAAAACACTCCCATTGTACATGCACACCGCGGCATGCCGTTAATACGCTTCGGCTATTCAGAAGTAATTGTTACTGCTAGCGGCACAGGGTCTTGAGAAGGGGTTTGAAGGTAGGGTTCAAAGTTTATACAAAAGCTGTACTTTCCTCGTTGAGACGTTTAAGATTCTGAGGAAATGATCTCCAATTCCTAATCCATTATAGCAACTCCAAGATTGGCTATAGCTTGCGAGAAGGTTTGGGGACGGAGGGATCTCATCTGGCACCTCACCCAGATTCTTTGGTCCTGACGCTTGACCTGAAAGAGCTGCTCCCAGACAGGTTCTCATCGACACATTCCATCGTGCAGGCAAGTACTACTATCTACCCAATGCCACCAACGAAGTCATCGGGATGGCTACAAGGGAGGCGTTGGCTGAGGTGAAGGGATCGTAAGTTGAGGCTGTGTTGAGACAGGATGCTTTTGCAGTACTCGAATTTTAGAAAAGCCATATAGCAGGAACGCTGATTTTTGACATTGAGGGCCGAAGATTGTCATTCCATTGAACATTCTACATCCGACCTCTATTGATATCCATAATGCCCAGAGGCAAAGCTCCTAGGAGCAATTGAAGCCCAGCGTGGAATCAGAGTCTATGTTGAATCTGAGCCTGCCCAAAGGTGGCCTCCCGACCCACCGTTGCTCTTTGCACGAAAATGGAGTTAGGATTGCTTCCAACGTGTCTTTTCCTTGAACGGGGATTGATCGTTGGCAGGGTGTCACTAGGTGGGATCTTTGAATAGTGGTGACAGTCAGAGCAGCAGTCTGGTTAGAGTTCGGAAGCTGTGGGTCGTCATACATTTCGTCGACATCAGTGCATATTTGCCAACATGTCGCCTAGGATCTGAGTCATAGATTGAGAGTTTTGGTTGACTCTGACGGCTATATAGTACGTGTGTGATCACTTGGAGTTGCGCGGCCCATATGCTGCAGATTGCAGTGAGTTAAACGCCTATGGCCCGGCCGCAACGCTACACGTACAGCTTCGATTGCAGTGCGTCTGAATCTTAATTAGCTTTACAATTGCTGAGTGCTACATGAAGCGGCGGCGACTGACTGAGGATATCCATATACATACGTACTGTGAGTTGGAGCGTGACTAGCTGGCAATTGACTAGCTTCATGCAAGTTGTAGCAGTGAAACCTGAAGATGCATATTTCAATGAATTGCATCATTGAGGTGCATGTTTGATTCATTCCCGTATACATGTCGAGGCATATTCTATTGTCCAATCTTTGCTAAGCAGGCGGCCGGCATGACTTCAAACACATGCAAGCGTATTGTACGTCTCAAATCAAATATAGAGGGGACTTGATCGACAATCACGTGGCTGCAGCGTCCGCCGCGGCGCCGCCTGTGCCGCGGCATGCATATCAAAGTCAAACGGGCCGCTCATGCTACGGATGTACATCGTGCAACATGAGAATTGTTGAAGTTTGTGCTCTGTACGTATGCCACATTGGTTGTATGCCGGCCGCTCACATGCAAGATCATAGTCGACCAAGATCATTGTCTAACATTTTCAATTGCTTAGTACTAGACTACGCACAAATCAATATGTATATTTAGTCGACAGGAAATACAGCTAGAAATGCACTATTTGTGTGCCAAGGCAACCCGTCCATGGAGGCTATCATCTAGTACTATAAGACTGCGGCGACAAAGCGAACGCTGTATTAACACCCCGAGCCACAGGTAGTTGCGTCTGCCCGGGAGGCTCAATGTACTTACGGAACGGGTCACCGGAGGCAGTGTGCAACCGCTCCAGATTCAGCATCCCGGACCTGCAGCAACGACTTCCGGCTTTCCCAACAGATCGTTCGCCTCCGGTCCCAGCTTCTCAAAATCGTCGCCCGTGCTTTTAGGCGGCGCAACAATTAGACAGGGCCCCGCGCCGAGCCGCACCCGCCGCCAAAAGCAGCGCCAGAACGGCTGCCGTTCCGCCATTGATTCATAGAGCGTCGAGCAGTACTGGAAGAGGATGCTAACAAGCGAGATGCCGATAGACCGCACGAAGATCGGCTCGTCGATGTAGATCCGCGTTGCGCGGGAGCTGCCTAGCAGATACAGCGTGGTCTGGAAGACCGCCTGGGGCAGAGACTCGAGAAGCAGCTCCAGCATGAGCCGCGACTGGAGGTAAAACTCCAGGCTGTAGCCCCGATTGCCCACCACCGGGCAGAAACCCACTCTCCCGAGCGCCCCCACGACGTCTCCGACCGGAACGCAAACGGTGGCGATAGGCCACGCGCAAAGTGCCAGGATGCGCTGGTCCCAACGGGCCGGCCCGCGAGGAAGGGGGGTCAGGCTGGCTTCGTCCGGCGGGGGGAAGAAGCGACGGAACCCACGAAACGGCCGCCACGGGAGGAACCTGGGAAGGGTGAGGGAGACATGTTCATGTGTTGCATTTGGAGGCATAGTGGGTTTGCGCTTTGACAAACGGAGGGACCACCTGGGTTTGAGAAGTCACGGACCAGCGCTTGTCAAACGATGACGAGCATCAATCCCGTTTCGAGTCCTATCCTGAGAGGGACCAAGCGCTTTGGACGACAGCAAGAATCGGTCGAGGATCGGTCGTCTCATTTGAAGGTTTCAAAGCCCTTTCAAAGCGGGTTCTCCTGGAAACGAAGAAAGAGATTTTGGATCCCTTCCCCCACGTGAAATGTCCGGCTGATGCCTCACATGACCGCGACAAGATCTTGACGTCGTGCGAGATTTTCGGCCTCGACTTTAGACTGATTCAGTCGCATGGGGGGACTCAACAGGAATTACGAAGGCCGCTCTCGGGCCGCTGAGCACTAGACACCTGAGCTGAACAAAGTGAAAACTCTAGCGGGACGTCACAAGGGCACAAAGGCAGAAGCAGGCTCTTCAATCAGCAAGCGTAAGCTTAATCCGTAACATCCCTCACAATCCGACATGCACCGGCTTTCCATAGCTGCTGCCGTCCTCAACCTCACCTAACCGCATCTCTCGCGCCGTAGTACCCTGCCACCGCGTAAGGCGACAACACCGACACCAGGATAACCCACATCGGCCAAGCCCCCCACACTTGAGCCAACACCGTGATGTCCGTATACAGGTCCACCCACGGAATCACCCCACTAACGATACCCCAAGCATAGGATGCCAACGTGAAAAGAAACCGGTTGCCCTTCTCGTTCTTTTCACGCCCCTTCCGGCAACGGAGGGTTATCACAAGGGTTATCGTGGAACCCAGCAGGAGGCCGACGAAGACGCCGTACACAACGGCCACCACTTCGGGCGCCTCCGGGTTTCCACAAAGGTTGCCCTCCTGAACTCGGGTGAAACCCACCCCGGTATAGGCGGCGCCCCCGGGCCCGAGGTCGATCCTGTCAATAAAGCCTGTGTCGTTGAGGAAATATATGCCGCGCTTGTTGCGCAGATAGTAGGAAGTGTATACGCCAGTCTGGTTGCCCTCTTTGTTGAAGGTTTCGCGCACCACCGAAGGCGCATCGCCCTCGAGGAAGACGGAGATCTTGCCAAGGCAGATCTGCATACGGGAGACGCGTTCAGATCAGAAAGCCGTGGCAAAAAGGTAAATCGAATTGACCAACTTCCCCCGCCAGACGGCATCTGGACCATCTCGAATGACGAAATGGTCTCCAAGCACTGAACTTGGCCAGTAGACGAACTTGCGAGCCAACCCAAACCCCTGACCAAGTAGTCTGTTGTTTCTGAATCACAATCGAGAAAGAGTTTAAGTGGCTACAAATGGATCAGTCGCGTGACTGATCCGCAAGGCAGCTGAAAGGGGACATAGGGTCCGTTTGTCAGTTTATCACTTTATTCACCGACTTCGTAGCTCTGTCCAGGAGTCTCTATCTTTGTCGCAAAGCGTTTCATTCAGGATTCTTTATCTTTGTCACGAAGCGCTTCGTTCCCCGGGGAATGCATCACTGTCAGAGTAATCCAGACACAGGGGTTAGCAAGAGACGAAGGCCGGAACCAAACAATCCTCCTTTTTCGGTTGACGGAAGGACGAGGAATCAAAATTATGAGTCCTTTACCCTGCAATTGACACTGACCTCTTGCAGGGCACGAGCTCTTTGTACAAGCTCTTTTCGCTTTCTGTTGACAATCGAAGATGGACAGAATCGTTATCCAAAGTCGGCTCCGACTGGAAGCACCGATACAAATTGAAGAAGCATGCAAAAGGACAAAAGGCAAGCAAGGCTAGACCGCTTCATTTTCTGAAGCAGGACAAAGTACTCAACCCAGTATGGCGATCTTGAAATGGCACGCTTGTCGATTGTATGAGCTTGACATCTGTAAACGAACTCCCGACCACCTGAGTGCAAGCAAAAATCAAAGCGTATGGGCTCCACGAGCCTTCAAGTTGTTACCCCCCATCGGCCATTGCTAAAAGCTGGCAGGCTTTTGTCAATCCAACCCGCCAAGTCTTGAGATCGACACCCTTGTCTCTGCAGCTATGTATTCGACTTGTCAAGTATCAGTCCGTACGCTGTTACGGCCAGCTCACCTCGCGTTTTGCCCTCTGAGACAATTTAGATCCGGTGTCCGTAAGGTCGACCACACACCCGTTCCCGCCCGTGCACGCGTCCCAGAACGTGACGTCAGTCACCGCGCCTCCCGTCCACCGGATGAACTGGCAGTTCGCTGGAGCGGCAGACACGTCCAGCCAACCCCCTGCCGCCACGTCAGCAGGAGACGCCGACCTCAGGAACGTCAGGTTACTAAAGGACACCAGCCACGGGGGCAAGGGCCCCGGGATCCCGAGTGACGTCATGTTTCCGGCCAAGTTACCGAGTTCCGGCGGAACGGGGCCGGACACGTTGGTGAGAGAAACGTCCAGACCTGTGAGCCACGTCAGGCGGCCTAGTTCGGGGGGGACCGCGCCAGCAAGGAAGCTGTTGTTGGAGAGATCGAGCAGGGTCAAGCCCGTTAGCTTGCCGAGGGATGGGGGGATGGGGCCTGAAAGGTTGTTGTCGTGAAGGTCTAGTGTTTCGAGGGAGAGAACGTTGCCGAGGCCAGGGGAGATGGAACCCGTGAATTGGTTGCTGTGAAGATCCACAAGGGTTAGGCCGGTCTGGTTGTCTAGCCCGGGGGGAATGGGACCCGAAAAGGCGTTGAAGGAGAGGTTGAGGCGTACGAGGCCTGGTTTTGCCGCGATCTCGGGGGGGAATGCGCCGAAGAAGCTATTGTTGGCGAGGTCAAAGTATCCGAGGAAACGGCAGCCGCTAATCTCCGGGGGAATTGGGCCCGAGAGGAGGTTGTTCTCCAGATCCAAGAGTGACAGGCTGGTGCTAAGGTTGCCGATTTCGCGAGGGATGCCACCGGTCAGCCGGTTACTTCCCAAGCGAAGGAATCTTAGCTCGGATAGCCTGCCGAATTCGGGCGGGATGCGACCGGTAAGGTTGTTGCCGTAGAAATCAAGGATACGCAACCCCGACAGGTCGCCAAGAGACGGCGGGATACTGCCATTGAGTTTGTTGAAATAGAGATACAGGTAGGTCAGGTTTTTGAGGTTGCCAAACTCGGTGGGGATGGGACCGGACAAGTTGTTGAAGCCGAGGTTGATCTCAGTTAAGAGAGTCAGCTTGCCGAGTTCAGGGGGAATGGGTCCCGTCAGGTTGTTGTTGAACAGGTCAAGCTCCGTCAGGCGGGTTAGATTGCCCATCTCCGGGGGGATAGTGCCACAGATGTTGCGTTTTGACAACGACAGGGCAGTGAGCTGTGTCAGGGCCGCAAAGTCAGAGAGAGAGATGCAAGAGGCCACAGGCACCGTTAAGTTGGTGCCCATGATATTGCTGGCATTCTGCTCTCGGACTTGGAGCAGCAGAGGTCGGATTGGGCCACTCAGCCCCGGATTATTGGAGAAGTCAACCTTGCAGTTAAACAGGTAGTCAAGATTGGCGGGGATCGTGCCCGACAGGTTGTTGTTGTTGAGACCAAGGTAATACAGGGTTTCGAACAGATCGCCATACTCGGGAGGAATGGGGCCCGATAGGTTGTTCCAGCTCAGGCCTATATATCTGAGATTTGCGGAGCTCCCAAGCGCTATAGGCAAGTGCCCAGAGAGGCTATTGTGACTGAGGAAAAGCTGCTTCAAATTTTGGAACTTGGAGTACTCAGAGGGGATGGGGCCGGAAAGGCTGTTATTGGCCAAGAGAAGGTTTTGGAGGAAGCGAAGGTTCCCGAGCTCTGAAGGCAGAGGGCCAGAAAGGCTGTTGTTGACAAGGTTAAGGACGCCAAGGGAGGTCAACTGGCCAAGAGAGGTGGGTATCGCTCCTGAAAGGAAGTTGTTTGCAAGGTCGAGAAAATAAAGGTTCCTCATGTTCCCCATCTCTGGAGGAATCTCCCCGGAGAGACTATTATTTGCAAAGCTGAGGTATCCCAGGTTTGTCAGATTGCCGAACTGGGGGGGGATGAAGCCGGAGAGGTTGTTGGACGAGAGGGACAAAGTATAGAGCTTGGAAAGGCGACCCAACTCTGGAGGAATCTCCCCGGAGAGACTATTGTTTTCAAAGTTGAGGGTTCGCAGGTTTGTCAGGTCGCCGACCTGGGGGGGGATGGAGCCGGAGAGGTTGTTAGACGAGAGGGACAAAGTAGAGAGCTTGGAAAGGCGACCCAGCTCCGGTGGAATAGGGCCGACGAGCTGGTTGAGCCTGAGACTCATTTCAGTAAGGTTCGCCAGTCTCCCGAGTTTGGGAGGGACACGGCCGACGAGCTGGTTGCGGTGCAGAGCAAGAGTGGTGAGGTTCGACAAGGCCCCGAGCTCAGCGGGGATGTTGCCAATGAGCTGGGTGGAACTGATGCAAAGGTTTTCTAAGCTCGAGAGGCGTCCGAATTCGGGGGGAATAGGGGCATTGAACTGGTTGAAGCGTAAATCGACGGTTCTGAGGCGAGAGAGGTTGCCGAGGCTGGGGGGAATGGGGCCCTCTAGAAGGTTGTCGGATAAGTCAAGCTCGACCAGCCGCGACAAGCTGCCCAGGTTGGAAGGAATGGGTCCGGTTAACTTGTTCACCTTAAGGCTGAGTGAAACAAGGTTTACCAGGTTTCCGAGCTCGGGGGGAATGGGGCCTGTGAGGCCTTGGTAATCAAGACTAAGTTCGGTGAGGTTTGTCAAGCGTCCCACTTCTGCAGGTATCTCCCCACGTAGGTAACCACTGGATGAGATGATTTGCGTCTGGTTGTAGAGGCTCCCCTTGACCTCCTTGGCAAGCTCGTCCATCGTAAAAGCACTTGCGCCATACAAGGAGCCCAGAAGGATAGCCAGTAGGACAACCATATTGCGCTGTACGGCCATAGCATTGGCCATACAACGAAATCTGCACAGCACACACACGAACTTGGCATACAAGCAGTACTTGGTGCCAAAGGCTCTGAGACAGAGCTTTTAACATACTTCATAAAGCGCAGGACGTCGACAGCGGCTACACGATTGTACCCCTTTTGGAACGGCTTTTCCACTGTGAGTGGCTGGACAGAAGCGGAGAGACCAATCGGGACACCAACGTTTTACGCTCAATCTTTTTGAGGCACTATAAGGCATGACGTTGTTATCCAGGTAGTACACCCCGTTGAGTTCCAGACTATTTCTGATGCAGGAAAAAGGCTCTAATGCAGGACGGACCAAGTCTGGTGGTTAAAAGATGTATCGGCTTGTTATGATTCAACCATCTGAGGTGATTGGTCAGCTGCTTTACAGAGCAGTATATCGACTCGAGCCAAAAGGGACAGGACCTCAGAATATATCAGCGAGCTTGTGCCAGAGCCAGCTACTCTTTGACAAACACCCACTCTAGACAAAAACACTACCGGGAAAATCCTACAAGAAATTGGGCATCTCCACTACAACGGGTAGTCCTGTGCGTTCTTCGTGGCAAACTTTCCTGAGGAACTTTCTGTGTTGTACAAGAAGTTTTGACTCCCATACACAATAGTCTGGCCAATATTGGCAGCATAACCTAAGTAGAGTTGAATTGAGTAGCGCCAGAAGTTTTACCTTGCTTATGGAGCTCGGTTGGTGGAAATATTGACAATGCTCTCTCACTCGGTTGTGCTCCGCCAAATGAAAATCCCTCTATATCTTGCCCGCAGAGCTCTGCAGATTGCCCAGCGATAGATCAGAAGTGGTAAAAGCAACTTCTTTGCTGTGTAGAGCGACTAAGGTTAGATCAAAAGTGGTAGATGCACGTCGTTGAGCTATACACTTCCAAGAAGCCCTGCAAGCATTGATATAGTCTCCGAAAGCACCTCTTTTGTGCAAGGATAATCAAAATCAAAGGACACCAGCGAGAATAGAGCACCGCTGCCCTTATGATGTGTTGACAGTATGGTCACAGTAAACAAGGGTCCACCAAAGCAGAAGCTTGCTATCCTTAAGTCATTGGGCTTGACCCTGCTTCCTTAGACAAATGGTATCTGTAACAACGCCCTAGACTTCACAAGCGGGAAACAGAATCAAGATTACTGGCATTGGCGTCCACTTAATGCGCTGTCCAATCAACTTGTCCTTGTGGTAAGCACCTTCCAGCAGATTGGATTTCAGATACTACCGTAAATAAGTTGTCCTTGCAAACTGCAACAAGTGCCAGCCCCATATTTGTCACCTAAGCTGAGAAAATGAAAGATTGAAGCCTGATCTGAGAGCTGGGAGGAAAGCTTCAGGCCCATCGAAGCAGTAATGCGAGTGCGGCTGATCCAGAATTGCTTTAGAAAGCAAGCCTTGTGGAATCTGTAAGGTTGCTCAGTATCTTCTTCACAATCCAAACCAGTTTCGGTTGATTTGCTGGCTCTGTGTGTCTGAACTCCTTGTTGGAGGCCTAGGAGAAGCAAACTACACGTGCGGAGAGATAGTAGGTACATTTCTTGAGCTCAGCTACTCCATTTATTAACATGCCCAATTGGCATCACAAAATTAGTGTCGGGCTCCACTCAACAATCCTTGTGAAACTTGTAATACACCATTGGTCCTAGAGTTCACTTTTCGCCGTTGTTCCCACTAACTGAATTGTCTAGCGCCAGCAAAGCTAATTGCCTATCTTGCTTCTCCAGCCTGATGATGTAATCTTCTCTTACTCAAAATGGGGCGCCCCGATGAAGCAGAGGTCACAATGTGACCAGCCATGCGATGCATCGTTGGAGCTTACCTCAATCTTCTTCAGTAATTTCAGCTCCCCTTGAAGTTTGTCGTTGTAAGCAGAATGTCCCCACTGTAATATCAGGGATGAACTGCACACGGCATTCCCGACACTTGGTGCCACAGGCAAGACACCACGTCCGCTCCTTCCCCAATACCTCTCAACTCCACAAAACCTACCAATGCTACTTGGCTAGAAATGTCTACGGTAGGTAGTCCTGACATGGTGACACTGGATCGACAGGCTGCGTGTTTGTTACAATGTGCGTCTCCAGACCTTCAAATAATTTACCGTACGGTATAATGAGGGGGCCCAGCTAGGGAGGGTGTACGGTGTACCGCATACGGTATAGGTATGTACCGTATTGGAACTCTGGCGCAACGTTCGCTTGCAGAACCGTGAACGTACCGTAGTACTGAGTATTACAGGCACTTGAATCAATGTCTGAGTCACCGGGGAACTCAAACTAAAAACTCTAACCCAAAAGATGATGCGCTCCGCACCCTGACCGACCCTAGCCACCAAAGCAACCCCACCTGTCTCCCGGGCGCCTATCATTGTCAGTACGGACCGGTATTTGGAACTTGGAAGTTGGGTCCCGTTTGTATTGAACATGAGTACCGTAGCCTGAGGGACTCGGGGAAAAGCAAACCGTGATGTCGACACTACAACCAGGGTCCAGAAGTCGACTCGGAGGGGACGCCGGAGCGCCAAGTGGCAGCACTACGTTTCCTACCGGGTTTTCCGGTCAGGCACTTGTTCGCGCCTTCGAGGCTGGTTCGGTATTTGTACTGCCGGTATGTACCGAGTCAGAGCCCTTCCTCCTTTGCACGGTACGTACCACTGGCTCAAACGGTTAGCGACGCGCTGTGCTTCAGACTCCGAGTCTCGCAGCGCACCAAAATTGGTACTTCGGAGCTCCTTCCGCGGAGTCTGGCGTCTGATGGACGATGGACAGAATCACAGAATCAGAACGCGATGCACAACTAGTATGCTGGCAATGTCACAACGGGCCCTACCTTACAGCTGTACTGTATACTGTACTGTATACTGACTCTACTTCTTAGCTAGGGCATCGTGTCAAAACACCTTCAAAGCGGTGCACTGAACTCCGTTTTTCCGAAGTTTTGAGGGGGGCATGGAAGCCGGTTTTGGGTTGAACCCAAATTTGTCCTAGAGGTTATGGAAGCCGGTTTCGCTTTTCGCCGGCCTCTCTATAAACTCTAGTACTTTAGGGCCGGGGTTATGGAAGCTGGTTTGAGGGGACATAATATGAAACTTATTTGAGCTATATCAAGAGGAGCCACGCGTTCCGGGTGTTGTTTTTCTTCCAACCGTTTCATGACCTTTTTCTTTGCATTCAATTGATCTGAAAAGGAGCGTGTGCCCAAGATGACAGGTTCCTGACAGCTCTCGGTTAACGCATGTGTGTCGTGCCGCTAGGCGTCGCTGCCATGCAGCCTCGTACGACCGTAGCAATGCAAGCAAAACGGATTCTCTAAAGAACGCAACGACTGTATGTCACTAAGAG